AATTTTTCTAAAACTAAGGAACTTATCATTGATTTTAGGAAGAAAGGGACAAACACCACAGTATGCACGATTCACGGTGAGGACGTAGAGATCGTAAGTCAGTATAAGTATTTGGGTACGATTTTTGATTCTCAACTGAAGTTTGAAAGGAACTCTGAATCAGTGGTCAAACGGGCCCAGCAGAGAGTACATTTATTGCGAAGGATAAATTTGTTCGGGGTTTCTAAACCTATATTGTGCACTGTGTATTTGTCGTATATTGAGAGCCTTCTAACTTTTTCTTTCATTTGTTGGTTTGGTAACATTTCAGTGAAGGATCGAAACTGTTTAAATAACATTGTGAAAGTCTGCTCCAAAATTATTGGAATTCAAATGCGCGACCTTAACTGTCTTTGGGAGAAACGTGTTCTTCAAAAAGTAAAAACCCTGATGAATCAACATCATATTCTGGGGGATGAATTTGTCCTTATGCCATCAGGTCGGCATTACTTGCAGCCCCCTAGAAAAACTAACCGCTATGGTAGATCATTTATTCCCTCAGGAATCAGTCTGTTAAATATTGAGCTGAGGAAATAATTATGGACTGATCTGGTTTTGGCACTATGCACTTTAGGACTTACGGATTCGGAACTTGATGTTTCTTTTATTTATTTATTCATTTTTATATATATAATCTGTATTGGACCCAGACCACATCATGTTACTCTGGTTATGCATTACAGGCTATGGCTGTGTGAATGGTTGTATGTATAGACGGTGTACTGTAGGAACTGAATTGCCCCTTGGGGATTAATAAAGCTATCTGTATCTGTATCTGTATCAATAAACCACTTACACACACAAACACATTACTGGAGCGTGGCGATCAGTGGATTTTTCCTCACAAAAAAAAAAAAGATTCCAAAAGGAGGTTTTGAGGTGACTCCATAGAAGAACCATTGTTGGTTTTCTAAAAAAAACCTTTCATTGAACAGTTCCATATATATATTTTTTAATATGAAGAACATTTTAAGAATCTAAGGATCCTTTTTCCACTATAAAAAATATTTTGTTTAATCGATGTTAAAGGTTCTTCATGGAACCATTGATGCCATTAAAGAACCATTATTTAATTCTCATGAACAACATTAGCCTACAACTGTTTTGACTTGAGCTAGTAAGCTAACACCCTAGCGATTCTACCAGGAAGTGGACCATGGCATCTGCTCTATGCGAAAAGCTGCTTTGCATTATAAATGAGTTCAGTGGCCCGCTGTATGGCATGGACAATAGCAACATGAGTTAAAGCAACAATTGTGAAGCAAGAATATTCAGGACATTATAAATGCGCTTGCACTGAGCACCATGACTGAACGTTTTACTGGTAGTGCGCATCACTTTCAGCATCAAATAATGTCACAAGGACAAACAAAATCATGTGTACACAAGCAAGTTATATTCACATACACTGAGTCATTTGTGCGTCATTGGTGTTGGAAGATTATCATTTTAAGAGCTCCACCTCTGACAGAACAAACACAAAACACATGCTATCGGCTGAGATGAGTTACAGCATAGAATCGTACACACACGAACATGCCCGCAAATTCAGTGTGAACTTTTCTTTTAAATGGCTGTCAAGTTCTGGCTGAGAAATCACTCAGCTCTGACATTTCAAAGGCCAGAAGGGTCGCAAGTTCACCAGACCCTGTTTCCGTTCTTGCAGACGGGCTGTCATTACTGATAGACATCAAAATGTTCCTGAATGCTTCCTAACACTGAAAAGACACTTCCTTCTGTACACTTCTTATCATGTCAGGTACAAGATAAACAAGTTTAAAGGCAAACAGAAAGAAAGAAATGGGAGGGGGGTGTTAAAGCAACCACTTCAAACATGATAAAACAAGTTATGTCATTATTTACTTGTTCGAAACTTGTTAAGTAATTCATTTGATAAACATCTAAATAATTTATTACATTGTTTATTTATAGTTTAACGCCATGCCAGCTACCCCGGCTATATTCATGGCAAGAAAGAGATTAAAAAAAGAACGATTAAAATAGGTTTTTAAATTTTATCTAAATATCTAACAAGTTCAATCTATCACAGTACATCAAAATATGCTTCAGTGATATAATATATTAGTAAAAAGTAGTAAAAAAACACTACTAATACTAAACACTACCGCATATATATACTGTATATATATATATGTGTGTGTGTGTGTAATAAAAAATAAATATAAGTAATATATTATAAATAACACATAATACAATATACACAAACATGTATATATATATATATATATTTACAATGTATATATGAATCAATGATAATAAATAACTATATTAGTAATTAATTTAATAAATATCTAAATAATAGATTACGAATATAGTAAAAAACACATTAAAAAATAAGTGTTCCCAGTGACATTCAAGTATATAAAAGAATATACATAATTAAAAAAACACCTTAAAAAAAGAGGGTTGGTTTAATTGAGTTTCATTTAACCAAAATTTAGTTTGTTATCACTTGGTGTGAGACGTCAATACATAATTTCTTAATCTGAATGCAAAAACAATTGAGATTAGCAGTGAATAACAATTTAATTCATTTTTCTGTTCTTCACACATAAATGGCTTTAAAAGATTTGGAATCTAGTATACGAGTCGACAATGGACTACAGTTATGATACTTTAAAGTCGTTTTTTAAATTATTTTTTGAGTTTGAAAGCTGTTCTCTCTATAAACCTTGTGGTCCTTGTATTGAAAGAAAGAAAAACATTCCTCAAATATATATTCTAGCGCATCATATAGGTTTGGAACGACACGAGGGTGAGTAAATAACAACAGAATGTATCTATAAACAGTTGGGACAGACCATCAAGTAGCCTATGAGATGGCATCAGAGTTATTTTGGGAAAACCAGAGTGAACCGAAAGAAAGTTTCATTGTGCTGCTGTTGACAGGAGAGATAAACAGCAGCTGAAGGAGGCTCAGATGAGAGGCTCTGAACGCACAAGCAGCTGGGCGAACGAGTGAAAAAAGAGACGTATACGTGCCAGAGTGCACAATGGCGACGTGTGGTTGCATGTGTCACGTGACTACTGACAACTCCAAAGACCTCATTCATGTTTAATGACATGCTTTGTCGAGTTCCCACCTGATGCAGTTGTCTATTCATCACATGGAATTTCTGAGGTAATCAATCGTAAAGACTAAATAATGACCATGGTTTAGACTCGGGTTCTTTGCGATCAGTGATGTTAGCTGTATTCATCCAGTGGCCCCAAAAGCATTTGGACCTTTAGACCACAATTAAAGCCAACAACACCCAGGAAATGTGAAAACAATATAGAACTGGAACTGATTTTTTACAACCAAATTAAAAGAGGTTTATACCAATTTTATGCACCAATGAATTAATCAATGCTGATGTCACGTTCACTGTAAAAATGTCGAAAATTAAATAAAAATGCACACTACCTTTCAAAAGTTTGGGGTCATAAAGATGTTTAATGTCTTTAAAGGAATTCTCTTATGCTCAAGTAAAATTATGACAATTTAAAATAAGAGTATTTATTTGAAATAGAGATATTTTGTCTTCACTGTCACTTTTGATAAATTTTATGCATCCAAGCTGATTAAAAGTGTTGTTTTTTTAAAGAACAAAAATCATACTAACCCCAAACTTTTGAACAATAGTGTATAAATAAAATAGCAAAAAAAAAATGATCAAACTAAACGGCAGCTGCAAGAAAATGATGTCGACTTTTTCTCCAAATTAATTTTTTCCAAATTATTTTTTTTTTTCACCCTGTTAAAAGTGTGTTTCTGCTTGATGCATTTAAAATTAATTAAATTGCTCAGTTATTGAATGCGAGACATTTGAGGTTTGGGTTTTGTGCGCATTTAAAGAGAGCCATAAAAGCCATTTTTACTTGGTATTAAGAAGCGTTTTCATCAATCCGATCACAAGTGGACGACGCTAAATACAGGTGTAAACGGGGTCTAAAACATTTTGAGCATGTCTGCTTTCAATCACTTTCAGAGGTAGTCTTCAAATCTTGTTTTAAAGATGAAAAATGTACCAAGCACAATGTTCTCTCACCATTCCTGATTTCTAACACACACTCACAGCGTTCGGCTAGTCTTGCGGCTGTCAGAGCAGAAACACATCTACTCATAGTAGACTAATGATTGTCAATCATCTGTTACGCTTTCACTTCTACATGAACAGCACTGCTTCCGTCTCAACCAGCCCTCCGTCAACTCGTATTAGTTGAGCGTTCACTCATACACGCAGCGGTCTGGATCTAACCAACCCAAGTGCTTCTTCACCCCGAGGTTTGTCAGATCTGCCTCAGGTGAAGCTCGAAACAGACATGTCAATCAAAAGTCCTTGTATATCAGAGCATCTGGCCTTTTCAGGCCAACTAAGATTCCCTCAAAAACAACAAAAGCCAGGGGCTCGGAATCACGCAAACATGGTTAAAATTAGCCCCCCGTCTCCTTTCCATTCAGTCCATGTCGAGATCCCAGCTGAGTGTCTGCCGTGTCTCTCTCAGGTCTTCCTCCTACACGCCACATTTCCATAAGAATGCAGCGCGCTCTGCATATCAATCCCAACTCTTAATTAAAGAGCTGCTATATTCCTGCTGGCGTCACACACACGCGGGAAGTGCGCAGTAGTCCCTTTCTCCCCGTTCTGATGGCGCAGGCTATTTGGAAAGCAAATGAGGGAGGCGATCACAACCGGGACGCGCACGTTTGAGGGCCACCTGACGGGGGTTTTTGAGCAGGGAACATCAGTAAACACGAGTGTACGAAGACGAGTGTGCGTAAAAAAAAACCGTCATGATCGCTATCTTGTGCTGGAAGTTAGTTTTAAAAGCTTTGAGTGACCTTTCGGTAATGTGTGAAATCTTTTAGTGTGAAGCGTAATGAAAATTAACTATTTTTTGCACTTGGGGAAAACAAAATAAAAGTGATTATTTTAGGACACGTACAAAAAAAGGAATCTACAAAACAGGTTATGTTTACTAAATAGAGATGTCTGTGTATACAAACAAAACAATAATATACACAATTTAAACATTTTTAAGGTTTAGCAATTACTAGGAAAATCTAAACCAAGGATAAGTCCGTTCACAAGGAGATAAGAAACTCATCTCCAGTGTTTTGGGTCTGAGAACTTGAAGCTAAAGAACACTTTGGATTTGTCCAGCCGAGTTCAGCTTGACACATTGGATGAAATGGAAAAGTCCTTTGTTATAATGTCTGCCAGTTTCGGTTCCACCTCTGACAACAAGCCGACCAGGTGCCGGACCTGTAGAAGGAGAAAAGACGAGAAGAACCGTGACTGATCAGAGCCTGTAGGGAGCAGTGAAAAGGACAAATAAGAAAAAGGAAAGAGAAGAACGTACAGCTGTTATATGTTGAGGTACGAGTGTGGCAACAGCAGACACGCAGCTTCTCTCTGTCAGATGCCCTTCCTTGACTACCAATGATAAAAGATCCTGAAGATTTAAATGAATTTTCACAATTTTTATATATAATATATTTTCGAGTGTACTTTTTACTTTTATAATATAGAATATAATGTAGTATATGATATAATATATCTTGCATTAGAATCATCATTAAATTTAATTCCACATTTTTTTGTTTTAAAGCCATTAAGTTTACAAAATAATTACAAGTTATTAAATTCTAATGCAAGGTATATTATATCATGTACTACATTATATTATTCCATATAACAAATGTATAAATTACATTCCCAAAATTTAATGTAGTATATATGATACAATGTATCTTACACTTTCAATTTAATTTCTTAAATTTACTTTATAATATCATGCAGTATTTTGAAATGAAATTTATACTGTTTACATTGAATATTTAACCATTTATGAATTATTCTGTAAACATAATAGCTTTACATTTTTTATTTAACTTTTATTTTTATAATAAATCCAATGTAATATAGTAATATAGAATAATATTTTTTTATTTAATTTATATTCTATTATATAGTATAACAGGGTTCCTCACATCCGGTCCTGGAGGGCCACTGCCCCGCATAGTTTAGCTCCAGTCCCTGAACAAGCTTCTCAAAGTCTTCAGAGTTACTAGAATATGACAGGTAAGTGAGTTTGATCAGGGTTTGTGTGAGTTTGATCAGGACAGTGGCCCTCCAGGGCAGGATTTAAAGAACCCTATAATATAGTATATTATAAGTTTATATAACATATCTTAGGTTAGATTTTAATAATTTATTAATACATTTGAAAACTGGATAGCTGGCAATTTCACCTTAGTCAGTTCCATAAGGACGACTGAGAGGAACTCCGCTGTGGTTTCGACTAAAGCTTTGAGCTGAACATCTTCCACTAGTTTCTCTTCTTCTTTCTGTCTCTCCTCTGATTCAGAGTTTCCAGCTGTCCGGCTCTGAAGGCATTCAGCGTTGAACTGCAGAATGCGAATAAGACTTCCTAATAATTCTGCACCTGTGATGAATAAACAGACGTTGAACCTGAAATAGCAAACCTTAAACAAACAACACTGCCTCCATAATTTGAATTCGATGTGTTATTTCAGTGTGTGTTTCGTACTGATATCCATCTGCAGACTGGAGTGTAACGCAGACAGCAGGGCGAGTGCCGGGGCCAGGAGAGCTTTCTGCTCCTGCAGGATCAGAGGAGGGTCGTCCGCTTGACAGAAATCCTCACACACGATCTTACACACAAATGTCCACACCGCACGACCACACGCTCCATCTGATACTGAGGACAAAGAATTTTGTATCAAAACATTGCCACAAATTTCACACACCTTTTACATGGGCAGTCAAAAAATAAAGTGAGATCTTTTAATGGAAAGAAACATCCATTTTCTTTCATTATTCACGTATAACTTAACTTTTTTTAAGAAATGAAAACTTTTAGTAAATAAGCATGCAATAAATCGAGTAAAAATGACAGTAAAGACATGTTACAAAATATTTGTTTCAAATAAATGCTGTTATTTTTAACTTTCAATTCATCAAATACTGAAAAAAGTAGCCGTTTTTTGTACCTTTTTCCTTGTAAATATTATTTCCCATCTTACTATTCTTTTTTTGATTATGTATTAAACTCCATTTCTTACCATATCTTTACAATATATATATTTCCCGTATTATTACCATACCTTCCATATCTACCCACGATTTATCTCTTGCCATCCACACACACACACACACACACACACTAATAATTCTAATTTTTTAAATGTTCATCCTCCAAACCCTAGTCCAGGGGTTCTCAACTCTGGCCCTCAAGGTCCACGTTCATGCAGAGTTCAGCACTAACCCAGATCAAACTCACCTGCCTATAACTTTATAGAAATCCTGAAGACTAGGTGTGTTTGATTAGGGTTGGAGCAAATCTCTGCAGGAAAGTGGACCTTGAGGATCAGAGTTGAGAACCCCTGGTCTAGATTCTGGTCGGGATTTGAACCCAGGACCTATAGACCAAAATCAGCATATTAGAATGATTTCTGAAGGATCATGTGACACTGAAGACTGGAGTAATGATGCTGAAAATACAGCTTTGATCACAGGAATCAATTACATTTCAAAACATATTCAAATAGAAACCAGTTATTTAAAATTGTTTTTACTGTATTTTTGATCAAATAAATGTAGCCTTTAGCATTAGAGATGATCAGAGAAGGAACATCTAAGTTTATCTAAAAGAAATATATGTACATCTGTATGATGATTACATAATTGTCCCTAAGAAAATACACATGCTAAAAACAACAGAATATTTTCAGGGAACAGTGAGGGCCAGTATGTGTGTGTGGGTCTCACCCAGAGCCTGCATGCCCTCTTCTACTGTAGTGAGAAGCTGGAGAGAATGAAGATACACTTCAAGAGCCTCTGGACTCTCTGACCTACAACACAAACATTTGAATAACCCTTAATTCATATTTTGAAAATGAACATTGATGTGAATCCAGGGGGAACATATTCTCTTAATCTAGCAGCAGACAGAGGAATGAATAGGTTGGTAAACACCTCAGACAGACAGACAGATGAGCAGAAGGTCACATGACTTTAATTAATATGTCTCACCTAAGCTGCGTGGCGGCCTCAAGCAGAGAGGACGCGATGTCCTGCTGTATGTCCTTGTTTGGGTCACTCTCGCTGGGTGGGGTGGACACCCAACTCTTCATTATCTCCTCATCCTCATCAAAGAGCTTATCCACCAGCTCCCCAACCTTAACCAGCAAATCCACTGCAGAGAGAGAGAGAGAGAGAGAGAGAGATACTAGCTTAGAATAGAATTTTATAGAATAGAGTCTAGAATATTAACTTTATTATATATTATTTCATATATTAAATATGAACAATTTAAAAATGGGCAAAATATCTTAATTAGCTATATTAAGTTATAGTAAGAAAAATAATCAAACAATTATCTTCCTTAAATTTATAGAAAATATAAAATGTTAAGTCCCAGACTAGTAAGTGAAAAAAAGTTAAGAAAAATTAAAGAATATGTTAGTTAATAATTTAATCGGTTTATTTCATTTTTATTGCTTAAAACAAACAAAAATAAAAACCACACACATAAATAAATTAAAAAGTTAATAATAATAATTATTATTATTTTAAATGTTTATTTCTAAAAAAGCAAACAAAAATAATAAAATAAATACAACTTAATAAAACAAGTTAATAATAATAATTATTATTATTTATATGTTTATTTTAAAAAAAGCTAACAAAAATAAGAAAATAAATAAAAGTTCATAAAACAAGTTAATAATAAATTTAAATGTTTATTTCATGTTTAATGCTTAAACCAAAAAATAACAATAAAGTTAGTTAAAAAGTTAATAATAATAATTTTTTTTAATGTTTACTTAATGTTTATTGCAACAAGTTTATTTTATTGAAGTTTATTTCATGATCCTTCTGAATGAAGGAATACTCCAGTTGAGTAATGGCTGCTGAAAATTCAGAAATAAATTAATTTTATATTACATAAAAACAAAGGAAAACATATTTAATGTTTATTGCTAAAAACCATACAAAACACACACACGGAAATTTAAATAAATATATAATAAACAATACGTCTTACATGTTTATTTAATGTTTACTGCAAAAAAAAAAAAAAAAAAAAAACTTTAAAAAAAATGAAAACCTTTTTTTGCCCTATTCATTGAAAGTACCATTAGCAACATCATTAAACATCACTGACCATTGGTGGAGCTGCTCATGATGAAACACAGACTGCCACACACTGCGGGCTGATGCTGTATCCTCTCTAGCCACAGCGGGGAGACATCAGGCTGAGACATGCATGTTAGCAGAAGCCTGAAAAAGACACACACCGCCATTCAGAGAAAGTCTAATGCGTCATATATTGAGAAATGTGCTTAGAGTTTTGTAACAGGGCTTCATCAGAACTGACCTGCAAGTTTCCAAGAGTGTAGGTGGGTCATTGTCTCCAAGAAGCAGAAGTAACACAGCGCTGAGATATACAGAGAACATGTCAAACATGGTTTCATTTAACATAGCCTAGTTAGTAGTACTGTATTTACAAAACTAGTTCAATTAACCTGAAGAGAAACAGAAAGGGAAAAAGATGCTCTCTCTCTCTCTGTCTCTCTCTGTGTGTGTGTGTGTGTGTGTGTGTGTGTGTGTGTGTGTGTGTGTGTGTGTGTGTGAGTGAGTGTACATCTCACCCCAAGTCAGAGTTCTGGCTGAGAAAGACACATGTGTCATGGAAACAGGCCATATTACCCAGAATTCCAACACAGATTTCCTGTAACAAACGCTCTGGGTAATTGTATGAAGTCATAAGCAAGTAGCAAGGAAAATATGATATATAATTCAGCATACTGTACAAGCAGCATGTAGGGAAGTTACAGTGGTAAAATGACGTACAGTGAGCCGTGGACTGCGTGACTTTGCGATCACACCCAGCAAGATGTCTGGAGCCTTGAACTCTTGAAGAAAGATAGCCACGTCCTGGAGAGAAAAAGCATGTAAGGTGTATATAGATGATGATGGCTATGTAGGAGGGTGTTGAATGCAGTGTGTTACAGTTTACCTTATCCATAGCCATGTCCCATACTTTACACAAATCCTCTTCCAGATCATCCGTCAGTTCCATGGAAGAATCACTCTGTCCACTTTCTTGATCTGTCACCATCTATAAGGTAATTAAAGTACATATTAAGAAAGAAATGAAGGGGCAGGTGTCATTTGTGTTTTATTAAAAATTACGTTCTTTATGTTTTATTTTTGTAATATTGTATGTGTGGTTTTATTTGACATAAAATGTCATTTTTAATAACCAACATTATGCAAGCCAATGACTGAGATACCTGAATAAGGCGGGTCAAGGTGCTGAAGAGCCAGTGTTTGCTGTACACCGTCTCACCGATGGCGTCCGCCTCTTCACCGGCCTCAGTCTCATCTTCCTCGGGTGGAGGCGACGGGTTTCGGTCCATCTCCGGTGAAGCTGCGGTGGAGGATCCACAACTGTCTCCATCCACCTCCTGAGAGCATCTGTCATTGTGCTCTGATGAACAAATCAATATATGACATAAATGCATGAACAATCCTCTAAAGGATGCATGCATAACCCACCAATACACAGCATAAAGCATATGCATGCAAACATTTTGTAAGTATCTAAACACGTGCACAAACCTCCAATGCACACCAAATGCATGCAAAACTTACAGTAGATGACTACATGTAGGTATGCATTAACTTCTCATGCATGCAAAATAAATAAATACTTTTAATGCCTGACATAAATGCAAGTATAAATCTCCACTCGAGATCAAAACATAAATGAGTGAGCATTTACAGTAATAACGCGTATAATAATTCGAGTCAAGTCCACGCTTCAGCAAAATAAGTGTGAAATGCGATCTTAGAATAACTATTTGTGGTGTATGTTTAAAGCTCGAAAGGTTTTGCCGGCTTATTTTTTATAATAATACCGGTTAAACAACGTGACAAATATTGATTTAATTAAATAAACATTTACTGCAGAGAGGAGCAACACTAGTTTAATAACTAACCCAAATGTAATGACTTACCCATTAATAACGACTTTCCACAAATAACGCTAGATGCTCAGTAATATTAAGCATGCGAAAAATGAATTTTAAGCTTCATGGTTTGTTTGGACGTTTTGAATAAGCGCATAAACGTGTTGTACTTCCGCTCACAACTCTACAAAGCATTATGGGAAAGAATAAAAAAAAGTGGGTAGAAAGGCATTTGAACAAAATAGCGTCTTCAAATAAATGGGTGGAGCTTGTGTCACAGTTTGTCAAGTAAATATTTTTACTCCGCAACACATATTTGAAATGCAATGGCTATTAAAGAGTTTCAGTGTAATTCAGCTGAAATCATTCTCCTGAACCTGACAGAAGCTTCAAGCAACACATTGTCACATCTTACCTCTCTGTTTGAATGAGTTGAGGAGGGGATTTTTAATGTGTTTTTTGCAGGATTTTAACTTGTGTGTCAGTTAACGATTCTCGAATGGATTTAATTCAACGATTAATTTTTTTATTAGAGCAAAAACAACAACAACAACAACAACAAAAAAAAACGTTATTTGAATGCGGGTCAATGAGGGTTTCTGGGCCTCCGTTCGCCCCCTACAGGAAGAATCCGGTTTTTTTTTTGTCAAAGGTCCGTTCTTCCTTAACTCGTAGATTAAACGGCTAGTTTACCCAAAAATGAAAACTCTGTCGTCGTTTACTCTCCCTCAGGTTGTTCCAAACCTGTGTTAATTTCTTTCTTGTGCTGAATTCCAAAGAATATGAAGAATGAGGTAAACAAACAGGCCCAAGGCCCCATTGACTCCCATATGGGGGAAAAAATACGATGCGAGTGCTTAAAGGATGAGTTCACTCCAGAATTCAAATTTCCTGATAATTTACTCCACCCCCATGTCATCCAAGATATTCATGTCTTTCTTTCTTCAGTCGAAAAGAAATTAAGGTTTTTGAGGAAAACGTTTCAGGATTTTTCTCGTGGGCTAGCTAGGCTACTTCAATGTCAAACGGTCTGAAGATCTAAATTGCAGTTTCAATGCAGCTTCAAAGGGACTCACTGTCACACGATCCCAGCCGTAGCTCCTGAGCCAAATGACCCAGGGTTAAGTAGTTCAAGTGTGAAAAGCCTGGTTACCCACATTCTTCAAAATATCTTTTGTGTTTAGCAGAAGAAAGAAATTCATACAGGTTTGGAACAACTTGAGGGTGACTAAATGATGACAGAATTTCCTTTTTGGGTGAACTATCCCTTTAACAACAGTGTCTTTGTGCTTTATATCTCTTTATTGATCAATGATCTCAAACAAATGCACAACATGTTTCTTATGTTGTGCATAAGATTTTTACTTCATAACATTAAGCTTTCATGTTTCAGCGTTGTCTCAGAGTTTTGGACCGGCTACTGCAGTAATGTAATGTTCAACATTTCTGTAGTTTACAAATGATTCAGAATTTGATATGAGTCACAAATTGTAGTAAATTGGTCAAATCTACAGTTTTGTCCTCAACTCAATGGTCAGATTTTACACTTTCCTTAGTTTTTCTTTTCAGCAGAACTCTTGAACTGACTTGAACTCAGCACTTCTGATTAACGAGTCGATGTACTGCAGTCTTGACTTATACTGTAGACACATAACATTCATGTCAAATGAGGAAGTGTCAATAGAAACTCACAGCACTACAGCAGTGTTGGTTTATCTAATCAATGTTCTATATGTTTGTTCCCTCCCTTTGCCAACACTGTGCCCTGTTTCATGTAAGGGTATTTCTGAAGAACAGCTGTTTCTTCTACATTGTCAACTTGCGTTTGCGGTGCCACAAAGAGGTGGAGCCATCATCTCGCTTTACATGCACATCAAAAACCTGATGTTTGCCTTTGGAGGAACTTTTGTGCTACTGAGAGAAGTTGTTTGAATGCTTGGGCAGCTCTCAATATCATCAAATTATGATATTTGCTGTTGATTGAACAATGATTTACAAAGGAGTACCTAAATTTACTTTCTGTCTGATGGCCTGTCAGTCTTCCTATCTACTGTGTCTAGTAATAAATTGGGCCCTGTCAATATTCCCTTTTTGAGTTAAATTATAGGTATTAGGCTATATGTTCATAAGCCTTTAGATAAAAGGGTGTTTCATATTTTATTTTTGTATATCTTAATTTGAAAAGGAAAATAACATTTTTCAATTATGATCATATGGATGTTTACAGATGAATGCATATTTATAACTGCTGTGCGTTTAAAAGTATATTATATATGTATATAATTATATACGAGTGCATAATATATATATATATATAATTATATAATACATATAAAATATTTCTGTTTGTGAGTCCTTTAATATTTTTACATAATGTTTATAGCCTCCCTCTGTCTGTTTGTTTTTATATGTGTTTATGTATTGTTGATGTTCTGACTGATCATTGACTTTGTTTGTTTGAAGTTTAATTTAAAAAAAAAATCTGTATCTAGAGAAAAGTTGCTACTACTTTGGCTGCTTCCGAAAACTTAAAAAATATTGCTTTCGGAGGCTGCATTATCATGCATTATCCCATTATCTGAATCCTATGTTAGCTTCACTGAATTCCTCTCTCCTAGATGCCTTCATCTGATCGATTTATGACGGCACTGCGGCAGCATAGTTGTATGTTGTTTCCTCCGCTGATATCCCAAAATCCTGTGCTGTGCTTTGCTTTCCATTGTGTGACAGTTGAGATTGAGAAAGGAAAGATGGCGTCTGAAAATTGCGGTTGGTTGTCAGTTTGTGTGTAATGTAACGTTTTCCGCTTCTGATGTCTAACGACTATTATAGATATTAAATATTCGCTTAGTTCTCACCAAAGCTTGCTCTATTTTGTTGTAGATAAATAAACCGTTATGCTGCCTCATCTGTCCGAACTCCGAAATCAGTTTCGTGAGGTAGGCTATACAGTCGTGCGTGAACTCTGCCTGCAAAGTCATTGCCAAGTCATTGCCAAGCGAGGCAAGTCAGGCCCATTCACACCAAGAAGGATAACTATATTCGCGTCCTCACCAACGAACGATAACGGTATTTTTATTGTGGTTTGTGGCTGTGGTTTCAAAGTAGCGAAAATGGATGACCTGCTGCTGCTTTACATTACACAAAAACATCAAAAGAACAAGGCGCTTTTGGGTGCACGATATCCTTAAAGGGGTGGTTGAATATGATTTCACTTTTCTAACTTTAGTTAGTGTGTAGCCTAATGTTGCTGTTTGAGCATAAACAACATCTGGAAAGTTACAACGCTCAAAGTTCAAAGCAAAGGGAGATATTTTCTTTTAAAGGTGCCCTAGAATGTTTTTTTATTTTTTATTTTATAATGTTTCCTGGGTTACCCTTATAATGTTAGTATGTTTTTTAGATAAAAAATTATCATAATTTAGAAATAAATGGCATTTTTCCTAGCCTGCTTTTAGCCTTTGATTTGAACACTCTGTTTGAAGGGGCGTGTCTGCTGTGGGATTCAGTGTAACCGCGGCCACTGCTGTGATTGGCTGACATGCTTGCATATGAAATAGCTACGCATTACATGTGAAACTCTTTCCCGAATACTTTTACTACTGCTATTATACGTTTTTACTATAACAGCTATCGAGATTAACGAATCGTGAGATGTTTTTAAAGTATTTAGATCTATTCCCATCACATAAAATGTTGCCGTGATGAGCATTGAGCAGATGACAGTGTGTTGATCGCGAGAATGAAGATCTTATCATTGCAAAGCAGTTTCTGCACTCTCTCTGCTTTCACCAATGCAAACACGATGATGTAAATACAGTAAGAGCTTCGTTGTGCAGTAACGTGCGTCATTGATTTCATAACGAGTTTGGCAAGTGTCCAGATAAACTCACGCTGTGTGGAAAGATTGTTCTTTGATCGCTTTCTGTATATAATTTGTTCACAATTTAAATACGATTATTTTCATCCTACTAAAAGAAACGATGTGAAGCTGATATTTTAGTCACTGGCTTGACTTACTGAAGCATTAACAGTATTGAACGATTTTGAGAGAAAGATTACCTGTCTGAACTTGAACAATTACACATCAGAAAGTGTTGCTTGGTAGCTCGATCCGAGGCCAGCTCTGTATTGGCCCAAGTTGAGGAAACACTCGTGAAATGTTTGGAAATTTCCAGAGAAAATAAAATTAACCCATTGTTTCTTCAGAGGCTCAGATGAAGGAACTAAAAAATACTTTTGTGTTCATGTGTACATCCACACTGAGCAACTGCCATGCTTCGGCTGCGCAGTTCCGCCTGGCATTGAGGGCTGGCATTATGCAAATATTTGGACGCGTACATATTAAAGGTTCTCTAAGCGATCCTGGGTGACGTCACTTCTTGTTGACGTTCGAACTATTGTCAAACAAAACGGAGGCTAGCTAGACCCTCCCTCCTCCTCATCCGCACACTAACCCCCCAAACCACACCCCCAAACCCTTCTTGTCGGTCATTGGCTGGAACAGTTTGTTATGTTTTGGGGAGCGGGTCGCTGCAGTTTGTTTTTGGTGCTGTTTGTGAAGCATGGGCTGTCTACAGAGATCGCGTTTCTTTACAGTGTGTTCAGGGGACAGGCAGCCAGCGGATAGTGAGGAGATGTTTGCTGTATGTGACAAAAAATGTTTTGGCCTAAAAAACACATGACATCGCTTAGAGCACCTTTAATGATCCCGACTATTGCGTCACAGTCGGTATTGTGTGGAGAACCGACCGTTTTTCAGGGGTGTTTTTCATAAACGTGAATTAAATGAGAACGCGAAAACAGTCCAGTTTGAGATTCACTCTATGTCATGTCCATGCACTGAACTCTTGTTATTTGACTATACCAAGGTAAATTCAATTTTGAATTATAGGTCACCTTTAAATAAATTGTTTTTGAAGGACTACAACAAAAGGCTGGTAAGGACTACACGGCATTTCTCCCTGGTTAGTGACATCACTAACCCTAAAATTTACATAAACCCGCCCCCGGATTACTACACATAAGCTACAGAAATTCACCAACTAACCATTAGGAACTGTTGTCTACATGTTGTCACTTCTTCTTCAGTCTCTCCATCTTTCTGACTTTGGTTTGAACACAAAAGGCTAAACGTTTTTGAAATTGCCTGTGCATGTCTGTGTGAGGTAAAAGGACACAAGCTCTTGAAGGTCTGCCCTCTGTGCTGGGAGCAGCAGCTCATTTGCATTTAAAGGAACAGACACAAAAACGGTGCGTTTTTGCTCACCCTCAAAAACTTTAAACATGCTATATAAAAATATCTGTGGGGTATTTTGAGCTAAAACTTCACATACACACTCTGGGGACATCAAAGACTTATTTTACATCTTGTGAAAAGGGCATTATTATTATTATTATTAAAAGAAAGAGGAGTTGGGAGAATCCGTCACTCTGATTAGAGAGTTGTCATCTATTGAAGAAGACTATCACACTTTTGAATGAATCAATATCAGTTTCTTGTATTTACAACATTTTAACAGCATTGCTATTAACAGCTCAGCATGCTACGTTTCGGGCACATCTAAACAGTGAATCTAGTATTATAATCAATCTAATCTAACAGTGAATTTAGCTGATGAAGTCAATAGTGGAATAAAAACAACGCCTAGTCAACACCTTTATATACAACTCCTTTTTCACTGCAACTTCAAAGGAAGCAATACAATGTTGTGGAAACTAGTGCAGGATACCTGAGGTAATTTTGTTACACGATTTGCTAGCCTGCCTGCATAACAATCTCATCGTTAATTCTCACCATTTATTCCAAGGATACGACCGATTGCTTTCCATATATCCATTTTTTAACATATCCTTGAAAAGGGGATTTGACTTGTCAAACAGAGTGTTGTTTTTTTCTGTACCTCGGCGATTAACTTTTCCACAATGTCGTCTGCATTTTAAATGCTCGCGAGCCCTTTAAATTCGAGTGGATTTTGATTGGCTGTCAGTGTTTTATAGTTCGACAGCTGGGGAAAAAATCGTTCTGAAAGTGATCCCAACGATATCATTCCTCATATATCTTTATCGTTATAGTTGTAGTGTGAACTCTGGTATTCTTTAATATGGAGAGCGATTTTTAGAATGTTTATCGTTATCTTTATAGTCATCGTCCTTGATGTGAACGGCCCTAGTATCTCATTTCACAGATAGTTTGTTTCTGTATGCTATTGTTGCAATATCAACAATGTAAAGTATTTGCTCTCGTTCTTGTTTTAAATTATTTTCCGTTATTATGCTTCTTGTTGTCATCTGTTGCTGTTGTGCAGGCAGTGTGGCGGTTGGTCGGTGTTGTAATTGTCCCGCCCCTCCTCCACTGTGATTGGACGGCTGAGTAAAAAGTGACAGTGATGAGCGCTGCGTTTTACCCATGTTTTACCCAAAAAGTTGAACATTCTTCAACTCTCGGCGACCGGTAAAACGTAAAGCCCTCCCTCTGAAAACAGTTGTTAAAATACGCTAGCCTTCGGAAAAAAAGTTTTCAGACGCAGCCTTTGACTCGTGTATGGTGTGGGATTGTAGGCTATAGGTTAGTCGTCACAACATGCGAGAAAGGTTGACAAGGAACTCGCTAATTCTTGAACTTCCAATCACCCGTTTAAAAGAAACACCGAACAGAGGCTAACGTTAACGTACAGAGCTCGTAATAAAACGAGAATCAATAGTGGCTTGGCTTTTCGGAGATGGCGCGAACTGAGGCACTTGAAATGTTGAAAAAACGATCCGGAGATTGCGGTTACTCAACAGGTAACGTTAAGGTAATTTTACTGAACAGATAAATTGTAAGTCTGTGAAGCTTTATCTAAGTTACTTCAAAGGGTCATTTCATTATGAGTTGTTGTAACTTAAGGTTAGTGCTGTGCTGGAATTTATTTTCAAGAAAGTATCGTGTCTATATTAATGGGTTTTAGCTACAGTAACTTAATGTCTTCAGCTAACTTAACGTTAACAGTTAACGTTAGTCAGCTAAGATTCTTTCCATCTAGTAGTCAATGTGTAGCAGTTGTAGGATAAACGCTCTAACTTTTATTTAGTAATGAGAAAAAAACATATTCATCTGCACAGTCACACAGACACAACCAAAACAATGTTCTTCCTCAAAATTAATGCAGTTTTGTTTATTTAAAAGTTACCTAGTGAACCTTTAAAATCCATATAGAATTAGTTTAGTTTTTTTCGTTTGTTTGATTGTTTTTCTTTTTTTTTTTACACATTTTTCAGAACTTTTGACTCATCTACTAGGCTACTGTATAAATACTGTAAAGCCTTTTGATGACAAATGGTTTAATATTTGAATGAATCATATTTCTAAAGGTCCACAGGGTCAAGCATTATTAGTAAAAAAATACCCATGAATAAAGTTATGGATGACATCAAATTTCTCACAAGGCAAAAATCTTTTACTAGAAAAGGATCAGGATATGACCGCTGCCAGATGGTCAGTGATTAGTTTGTTTTAATTCACGAAAGCACAGGTGGCATTCAGGAGCTTGAGACACACCTGTGTACCTGCAAGGATGCTGAACGTCAAATTGTCTGCATCACAGACAGGATGTTCAAAGCTCACACGCAATCATACGTTGTCACTTGAAATGTACTGGCATTTGGCTGCACCTTGTCAAGAAACAGCTTGATGGAAAATTTGATTCATTTGTCATTTATGATCATATCCTACTTGAGAAATTCATACCATATGTCCGTTCAGGACGCTAAAGACTCTAAGTGTTTACACAAGACAATCATTTTAACCATTAGTCTTCATTTCATTCCCCAAATCAGCTGCTAAATGGTTTATTAATCATGTATTGTATATTTATTTTGCAGGTTTTAGTAGTGAATGTTATTTTTACTAATCCTCCTCATACATGTACACAGAAGCTGTAAATTATTCACACCCTGCCGTAAATATGAAATTCATTACATAAATTTTCATCAAACATCGTTCAGAGAGGCCGAGGAACTGCCGCCCACCTGCACACACACGCACGCGCACACACACACACACACACACACACACACACACACACACACACACAATGCCATCACTGGACTTTTGTAATACCAGGTCAGCGGTTTTTTCTGTGACATGCGAAGGCTGGTAGACCCTCCCTGCAGGGTGGTAAATGAGAAATGATATAAAAGGAATCCAACAGTACTGAAGCTCTACCTGTAGACCTTTCTCACCTCCCACCATGGAGTGGAAAACATCTGCAGTCTGCATACTACTTCTGGCGCTTACCGGCATTCAAGTGCATTCAAAGAACGGTAAGAGTTTAACTATTTATGTCATTTAAAATATAAATTATTTTTGTCTAAATCCTGTTCTTATGAATTTAATTATGTTACTGCAACTAAACAACAATCAGAAATGACTTGATACTTAATCATATAACAAAAATATGAGTTACCATTTGGTGTCCTCTTACAGTAATAAGATTTCTTTATTTTTTTTATTATTATTTTTTATTAATAAGTATTGGCAGTCGATATCCCATTTGAAAACTTTTATACTCAAGATCCATTATCTGAAATGTGTTTTAAAATCAATTAAACCTGAAATTATCTTGTCAGATAGCATGATGTTGTGGTTGGAAACAGCGTCAGTATCAACATCTGGAGAAAAAAAAAAGGAACCAACCACCTGATAACATTTGCGAACGTCATAGTTTCATCACTTGAACCTGATACTATCAGCTCCATTGATGACTTGCTTTAGAAGTTACTAAATATTCTCAGTTGTGAAAAATGTCAAAAGTTATCTTACTTTCCTTCATGATAACTTGAAATTTAGCTTGATCCTCTTTGTGAAATTTCATGGATTACAATATTTGATTTTAGCATTAATGTAAAAGTTAAGTTTGCAAACAGAAAGCATAATTGTAATTCAAATTAGTGTTTAAGGACATTAAAATGGAAATAAAGTCATGTAACTACTGTAAGCATAGAAGCATATTCTTTCTCATACACACTTACATTATGTCGTTGATCAACCTTTGAAAGGCCACTTACATAATTTCTTATCTCTATATTAAAAACTCACCTTTCTTTGAATTACAAATCTTTGTTTTCTCCCTTTTTTGCAGTCTATCCCAGTAACCATGTCAACAGCATCTGCAGCATGTGGGGAAACTTCCACTTCAAGACGTTCGATGGGGACGTTTATCAGTTCCCAGGCATGTGCGAGTATAACCTGGTGTCTGACTGCCAAAGCCTCATTCGCCAGTTCTCGGTTCATGTGAAGAGAACAGAACACACCAATGACCCGAAGATCGGCAGGGTTTCAGTTAGTATCAATGACATTGTCGTTGAGTTGACTGAGAAACAGGTCATGATCAATGAAGAAAAGTAAGATTCTGGGGAACCCAACTGCTGCTTATTTGCTCCCACAGCAAAGCCTTTAAAATGTGTTCTGTTTGGTCAATTTTTCATTTGAATCTTTTCAGAGTAACACTGCCCGTGCATATCTCAGGGATCCTTGTGGAAGAAAACACCATTTACACCAGGCTCTATTCCAAAATGGGCATCACTGTCACATGGAACAAAGAGGATGCAGTTATGGTGAGGTTATGTGGCTCGATATGAGTTCAAAACAAATTTAACTATAGATTCTCACATGGATATTAGTCTGATTTAAGTTTTACAAACCTAAAATACACTAAACTTATTTCAAAACATTAACTTGAGTCTATTTTGAACGATTGATGAATAAAACTGGCTCATACAATACGAGTAATCTCTTATTGAATCAGACACTGCTGGTGTATGTTTTTGATTTACTAAAAAGAACTGGCTCATATGAGTAATTTGTTAGTGAATCGGACTACACTTCTAGCGCACAATGATTCACTAAAAAGAATCAGCTTTGTGATCACGCTATATGCTTGTTTTAGCGTGTTGCCCACAAAAACAATTCAATCGAAAGACGGTTTCTTTCCACTAATTTGCGGTTCATGGTTTTTAATTTATATCCTCACACTCAGATCAGACAGTAAACTAGCATAAACTTGGGGAAAATAAGATTTATTTAGTTGTGGTGCTGTAGCTTAATCAAACGGTAGGCCTACATGAATCTGCGTAAGATTTGGTGTACATGGCTGCTTTTTGGATAGGAAAAAAAATATTTTTTTTTTTACTGTGCAATGTTTTACCATAGACTGTAAAAAGTGTCCTACGTGAGCGCCAGGCTTCTCTGTGTGATGATTGGACAAGCGCTCAAATAGGCGGGCAATGATTAAATTAAATAGGCAAATAAATTATTGATAGAACGCTGTAGATGGCGTTTTTTGTATTTCGGAGACAAAATGTAAATGAAGCAGATGTGTGATTGAGACATTACATTTTATGTTTATAACCATGTTTCATATATTCTAATAATACAGTTTTTGATTTGGTAAAGCATATTCGTAAGGCACTTTTTTGAGTAGTTGGGGGAGCAGAATTTATACAACATGACAGTGTTTAACTGAGGAAAAACTAGTTTACGCCACAGGAAACTGCCAGCAGACCTTTCAAGGGAGTAACTAACCAGTAAATGATTTAGCATATTGTGCAAACACTGCAACATGTGAAGTGAAATGCTATACAAGGCAATTTTCTGTTACACATTGAAATATCTGCATTTGTTTCCTTATGAACATGGTGACCAACAGTGAATTTCAGTCTGCAAGTTTGCAATATTCACTGGTGTATATTCACAAATACCATGGTATATGTATGTTGTAATAATTTAGTAACATAGTATTATTAACTGAGGCCATCATTATACCATGTTACTGGTCCCAAGGGCTTGCACGTGCTTTTTTTTTTTTTTACACAAGACTGAATACAAGTGATGTCTATTCCATATTCCAGTGTTTTCATTACTCTGATCAACTATCGTTAGTACTGACTTGATGTCCAAATGGCCAAAATACCAAGTCAAAAATGATCTAACCAAGGAGTTTTGTGTGGTATTGTGTTAGGTGGAACTTGACTCCAAATATTCCAATCGTACTTGTGGACTGTGTGGCGATTTTAATGGAGTTCCAGTATATAATGAGTTTATTGAATCCGGTAAGTTACTTTTACAGTCTGATTTCTTAATTTACTGTTCATAACTGACCCCCAATAATGATTACCAAATACAGTAATGACTAATGCTCATGTTTTCCTAATCTGATGAAAAATCCAAGCGGTTTAAGAATATCTAAGAAGATCAAGTGTCTATATCTTATCTTATTTAATATAGGACGGAGGGTTGGATATACTGAGTTTGGAAATAAGCACAGAGTTCCCAACCCAACTCATAACTGCGAAGATCCTTTTGAAAACATCGATGAGCAAAATGTGGTGGACCAATGTGAAAAATATGTAAGATACAGAAAAAAGTTGTTTATTCCAAATTAAACTATTAATCACTCCAGCTATGTCACAACAGCAACTCAGAATTCCAGTATTGTTAATATGGACCTTCCATGTCCTTTTCACAACAGCGGGCAGATTGTGCAGACCTTTTGGAGGATGAAAAGTGGTCTTCTTGTAGCTGGGTTTTGAACCCTGAGCCATATATCAAGGCCTGTACAAATGATATCTGTTCACGTCAACCTGAAGACGAAGACAGAGACACCACCGCACTCTGTGCGACTTTGTCTGAATATTCACGTCAGTGTTCGCATGCAGGAGGATCTCCGGCGACCTGGAGAACAGCAAAGTTCTGTGGTAAGAAATACCACAGAGTTCTGGTGGAAATTATAGAATTGCTCTATCTTGAGTGGTTTTTTTGGTTTGTATCCTTTAGTATATAATTCTTTTTTATTGTTTACACAGCTACAGTAAGAGGAATCCAGGCAATTTTCCTCTTTGAATTAATGTTTAAAAAAAGAATATAAAATATAGATAGACACATTTAAAGATTGAAAGAATAGAATAAAAGGTCTGAAATTATTATTTCTGTAATAATTATAAATGGTTTTCAACTTTTTTTTTTTTATCTTAATTTTGTAACACCGTGTCTACACCAGATGCGAGTGTTGCGACATGACAAAGGCAAATAGAACCCATTATAATCAGATGCTGTCTACACTGGATGCGGCGAGAAGCCTCAAGACAACTGTTGCGTCCGGTGTAGACACAGTGTAAGTCTCTTTATGACTTGTTTTCCCATGCAGCTGTGACGTGCCCCTACAATATGGTACATTCTGAAAGTGGCTCCCCCTGTATGGACACATGCTCACACAAAGACACAAACACACTGTGTGAGAAACACAATATCGATGGCTGCTTCTGCCCATCAGGTCAGTACGAGTATTTATATAATATTAAAAAAAGGTGTTTATAAATCCTGTTCTAAAGTTTGGGGCCAGAAAGATTTTTTTTTTTTTTTTTTACTTATATTCAATAAGGATGCATTAAATTGATCAAAAGTAACAAGGCATTTATAATGTTACAAAATATTTCTAATTCAAATAAATGCTGTTCTTTTGAACTTTCTATGCATTAAAGATTCCTGATTTTTTTTTTTTCACAGTTTCTGCAAAAACATGAAGCAGCACAACTGTTTTCATTGATAATGATAAGAAATGTCAGTGTTACATGAAAGGATCATGTAACACTGAAGAATGGAGTCATTTCACAGTATTACAATTTTTACTGTATTTTTAATTAAATAAAGTAGCCTTGGTGAACTAAAAAGACTTCTTTCAAAAACATCTTAAAAGACCCTAACTTTTGAATGGAAATGTATGTTGTTGTTTGCATTAATATCAACTTTATGTGGTTCTTTATTTAAACAACTTTCTTTGTTATAGGAACTGTGTTTGATGACATTTCAAACACGGGCTGCATCCCAGCAGAAAAGTGTCAGTGCAAGCATGACCGCGTCTACAGCACAGGAGAGGTTCTTCGCAAAGACGAGGAAGAATGGTAAAAAAATATAGGCTATCTGTAATAGGAATATGAGGATAACTAAGTAAAATGTGTGTAGCACTTCGGGTTTTTTTATCCTATTCTGTGACTCTTTATATATCTCATGTATTTTACTACTCATATATAGAAATATTTGTTAATATTAGTTTTAAATGCATATGCCTGACTAAATGCTAAATTATGATGACACTGGATCAATGGGAAGAATTTATAAAAATGTATAATAAAAAAGGAGAAGTGTGGTTTACCATGTTGGCATCTGAAGCTTGTTGTTTACTGTGTCAGTTTATAATTATATTGTGTGATTCAGTATATGTGAGGAGGGAAACTGGATCTGTATGAGTATGCCTGGCCCTGGCCTGTGCGCAGTAGAGGAAGGATCTCACTTCACCACCTACGACGGGAAAGAATTCACTTTCCATGGAGACTGCAACTATGTGCTCTCAAAAGTAAGCGTGTTGTAATTACTAATTACATCTTCTCATTTTGTTTGTATCCATGCTTGTATCCATTAGGAATATGTGAAATCCTTATAAAAGTCAACTTTTGCATTTGTGTTTTTGTAGGATTGTGAGGGGTCCAAGTTCATCATATTGGCTCTGATTGTTCCTTGTTTTACTCATGAAACGGACACCTGTTTGAAATCTATTGTGGTGCTGTTTGACAACGACAAGAAAAATGTGTGTATAACGATCTACTTCCACAACACAAAAGTCTTGTATATTTGGCTTTTATAGCAAACAAGTCATTTTAGGCAATATGAACAAGTAACATGAGCATGAGATGTAGCCTACATAATACACTACCTTTCAAAAGTTTGGGGATTTTTCTTGGGGATTATTTCTGTAATGACAAAGCTAACTTTTCAGTGTTCAGTGTCACGTGATCCTTCAGAAATCATTCTTATATGCTGATTTGGTATTCTCTGATGAATAGAAAGTTCACAACAACAGCATTTATTTAAACTAGAAATCTTTTGTACAATTTTAAATGACTTTACTATTACTGTTTCTTTACTGTTCAGACTCTAAACATTTAAACAGAAATGTAGCTTGTGTAAAATAAAACTATGACTGTGTGCTTTCTTCTTCAGCCTCTGATTATTAAAGCTGATGGGACGGTACAACACAATGCAGAAGTTTCACTTCCTTACATGACAGGTGAGGAATAAGAAGCTCTTTTTTGTTTCTGTGCTTTAAAGCCTGTTTGATAAAGATATATATGAACTATTTTTCAAACTCTTTGACTCTTTTCCTCCAGCTGACTTCACTGTGTTCAGGCCATCATCATTTCACATCATACTTCAGACCACCTTTGGGCTGCAAGTGCAGATACAGCTGGTGCCTCTTATGCAGGTGTACATCACTGTGGAACAAATCTTCAAGGGCAAGACTTGTGGTGAGACCTCTGTCTTAAAAAGCAAAAAAAAAAACTGAACTAAGAAGTAAATCCATCACGATGGCCAATGGTGCGCCATTTATGTGTTTGTGCAGGTCTCTGTGGAAATTTTAACAAAGTGCTGTCTGATGACCTGAAGACCCCTCAGGGAGTGGTGGAGGGTACAGCAGTTTCCTTCGCAAATGCCTGGAAGGCCCAGTCCAACTGCCCTGACCGTTTTGAGAGGATGGACGACCCCTGTTCCTACAGCAGTGACAGTGGTGAGAGACTTTTTGCATCCGAAGTCAGTATGGTAATCAAAACCGAACAGATGTTTTAGTTTTTGGCAGAGTATCCGAGGCACGAGCTGTACAGGCTCCACCCTCTTCTGGAAAGAGGGGCAGGGAGCAGCAGCCAATTTGCATTTAAAGACACATGTACGAATACAGCATGTTTTTATTCCACTCAAAAATTGAATAATACTTGGAATAATAAATGATCTATGGGGTATTTTGAGTTCAAACTTTACAGACACAATCTGGGGACATCTGAGACTTATATAACGTCTTGTAAAAAGGGGCAAAATAGGTTCCCTTTAAAGGTGCACAGGAGCACTACTGTGCATTCTCATGTGACCGAAAACCACACATACTGTATATAAATATACTTCTGATATAGTATACTTCCAATACTTTAGTATCTGCAAGTATTGCCACTTAACATTAGTTAGTGCAACTTTTAAGTTAGTATATGCATTTTGTTGTTAAGTAAGAGTTTTGCATAAAATACCATATGTTATGATGCCTTTAGAGCACTTTGCTGAACACTGGTGTTCCAAGATGAAGGACAAGGAGAGCCTCTTTGCCAAATGTCACACCACTGTCAATCCAGACAGCTACTACAAAGTATGATCTGAAACTGGAAACCTTGAAAATTGAACACTTAATTTTCCTTATTGTAATGAATGTTACCCAGCCTCTCATAATAACCAGTGACACAACATGTCTATGTGTTTTCAGAGATGCAAATACTCCAGCTGTACCTGTGAGAAGAGTGAGGAATGTCTATGTACGGTGTTCTCCTCATACGCTCGGGCCTGTGCAGCTAAAGGAATATTCCTCCAAGGCTGGCGAGGAATTGTGTGTGGTAAGGCGGAATGCTGTTTATTTGGCAGACAGATGATGGGTTTTCAAACCATGTTGTGGTCTGTGGAAAATTTCAGTATAAAAAAATATTAAAAGTCTATTTAAGAAGTAAAAACTGTATATTACTGTCATTCTGTTTTCTATTGACCATGTGATTATTGTGATTATTTAAGAACAATTCACATTGCACCGACAGACGGCAACAGACACTTTCGTCGGGTTTTGTCAGATGTGTTCGGCTTTGATTGTCTCTCGTTTTCGCCGATTGAATCGTTATGTTAAAAAGGCATTTGTCGGATCGTGGAATGTCTCTAATCTGGTGATTGATGTCGTCGGTGGCCATCTGTCGGTGCTGTGTGAATAGTTTTTCACTTCAACAAAGAAATGTATATAATTTTGTAGAGGAAAAATGCTCATCCCTCGTTCCTTGCGGTGTACAATAGTTTGTATTTGGAACATATTTCTTAGGAGTTTTTCCTTGGCACTATTCTCCGTAAAACTGCTTGAGAGCAAAGTTTATTATAAAAATGGGTAACACTTTATTTTAGGGTGCTTGTAATAAGCAGTAATTAACAGTTAATAAGACACTTATAAGACCTTATAAGATGCATATAAGATGCATTTAAGCATTAACTACTTCATATAAGGGTTAATTAAAGGTCCAGGCCCTGAAGAGATCAGGGAAACTACTCCCTCTTGGGAAGGTCAATTTTTAAGGGACTGGGAGTTTGTGTTACCATTTATGTTTGTTCGGCTGTTCTAAAAGTGCAATGTATTGATACTTGAGAAATTTATTATTTAATTTTATTTATTTATTATCATTAGTTAATGCTTATATGCATCTTATATGCATCTTATAAGGTCTTATAAGTATCTTATTAACTGTTAATTACTGCTTATTACAAGCACCTTAAAATAAAGTGTTACCTAAAAATGTCATATAAAATACATCTGAATAAGGTTTGCATCTAACATTAAAAGTAAAGTAAATATTTTCCAGATATTATTTTAATAATTAATTTGGTTTAGTTTTAGTACAATGATAATATGAAAGCTGATTATTTAATTTTGAAAACAACATGGCTAAATAATATAATGCTCACCATTTTATACAAAATATGTATAAAATATATCTATAGATGCTTTTATAGTTTAGGAAGGGCATCCTTCATATGTCCTTAATCATATTTCGATGTCCTTGGCATCAAAATGTTCGTAAACCCCTTATTTAAGCTAGAAGATTAGAAGAATGCTTGCCATTTTGCTACATGCACTTTTACAACGCATTCCTTTCAAACTGATCCCCACAGAGAAGTATACAGAGAACTGCCCGGCATCGCAGAACTACTCGTACCAGCTGCAAAGCTGCCAGCGTACCTGTATTTCTCTCGCCTCTGAGCGCCAAAGCTGCAGCGTTGACTTTGTGCCTGTCGATGGATGCGCATGTCCAGATGGACTCTACCAGGATGAGAATGGACTGTGTGTACCTATGGAAAAATGTCCATGTTACCACAACGGACAGAAAATCCATCCCGGCAAGTCTGTCACCATTAGGGATGAACACTGGTAAGTGGATGATAGTATTATTATTAGTGCTCTAGAACTTTACAAACTATTAATTTAATAGACAGTTTGAAAGTTTGATCTTATTTCTCTGTCCAGTGTTTGCATCAATGGAAAGTTCCACTGTCGTTCCTGGAAAACCCAAATTCTTGGTATGAAAAATTACTTTCATCTACTGCATGTTAAATAAGTATGCTTTTGGTTTACATGGACTACTATCACCAATACTGGGCTATCATGGCATTTGTTAGTAAGGCTTTATAGAGTTATCTTGTCAAATGTTACTGGAATTAACTGACTATCCAAGGTTTTGACAAACAACAGTAAACAGTGGTCAACTGATATGTTTTTTTTATTGATATAATGCAGATATAAATGATGATGCGCAAGTTAGTTTAAAGATTGTAAATAACTATGCTGCAATAAAATTTATTTTACATAATAATAAATACAAATGTAACAATCATAAATGATTTTATATACAGTATTTACTAATAATAATTAAACCAATTTGAAATTTTCTAAATATTTTTGTTGTATCAGTCTAGCACTAATAGTACATTATAGTAAATTGCTCAACATCTGTTGTAAACGTTCTTTAAATATGGTTTCTGATATAAAAAGTACATGAATGGTGCAGCATCTCCGTCTGATGTCTTTTGCAGGATGTTCCTCTCCAAAGATTTTCTTCAACTGCAGTACAGCAGGCCAAGATGAACATGGATTGGAGTGTGCACAGACTTGTTCGCAACAGGAAGTTGACTGTGTGAGTCCATAGTTTCCAGCATCTCTTCTCTTTCTTTCCCAAAGTTGATCGCTTGATTTTGCTGGTGGTCTTTATTTTTGTGTTTTCTTCCCTTCTTTCCAGTTCTCGCTGGACTGTCAATCTGGCTGCCAGTGTCCTTTAGGTCTATTGGATGATGGCAGAGGACACTGTGTTAAACCGGATAACTGCCCATGTAAACATGATGGACAGTTTTATGCACCAGGATCTGAGATAACCGTAGATTGCAATAAATGGTGTGTAAAACCAGTGTTATTTTAGTTTAATTCATATAATATTATATTTCTTATTAATATTTTGAATTAGTTTTAATTGATATATTTTCCATTTTAGTTAAAGTTTTAGTAATTTTGGGGTTTGTGTGTTTTTATCATTTTAGTTGTTTTTGTTTATCTATATAGTTTTTATTCAATTTTATTTATTTTAGTACTAAACTAGTTAAACTATATGGAAATTAGAAATGTTACAACTAGCTGTAAAACAGCTATATTTATTATTTATTTATTCTTTTAGTTAACGATGGTAACCCTGCGTAAAACAACAGCCGTCGCCACATTAAAGTTAAATTGCTATAAAAAACCTGAACAATGAGTTAATACACTAATTCGCTTTTTATGATCTATTAGTATTATACTGTAGAATGACACAAGATTTAATTCTACCTCTATATTTGCAGCACTTGTCGACGGGGAAAATGGAAATGTACACATAATAAGTGTCCAGGCATATGCACCATATACGGCAGCGGACACTATAAAACTTTCGATGAGCAAAGATTTGGCTTCAGGGGAGACTGCAGTTATATTGCTGCTCAGGTATGAGCTATGGGTGGACACAACAGCATTTGATCAGAGACTTCATGAAAATAAAGTTACAAATAAACCTCTTCCTTCAGGAGGTAAAAGGTCACGCTCTCTTGTTTTACAGAATAAGTGTGGAAATAAAACTGGCAATTTTCACGTGATTACCGAAAACATGCCTTGTGGAACAACAGGAACCACTTGTTCAAAGGCTGTAGGGATACTTTTGGGGGTAAGGCTGCAGTCATAGGTCTCATGCTCATTCAGAGTAAAATAAAAGATGTTTCTAAAGGGTCATTAAATACTAACGCAAGCTGGTCAGCATGTTAACATTTTTACATATGGTATAAGATAATGACACACATCAATTTTTCATTTAAAAGGCCAATAAAGGATTTTTGCCCTATTTTCTTTAACATTTGAAAGCAATATCAAGTGAATGCCAGTCACTGGATGCAATATCTGTTTTGAGAACTGACCTGTGCTGAAATGGGGTGTTTCATGACTCTTTAATTTTATCTATCATACGGTGTCTTTTTTTCTTCTAACTTTTCTCACACACTCACACACAGAGGACTTGGCTACTGCTTTCTGATGGGACTGTAACAGCCACTGATACTGGAAATGGTCCAAAGATCAAGTACAATGAGAGAAACGTTGGGATGTACCTTGTCATTGATGCTGACATCGGACTGACAATTTTGTGGGACCGCAAAACCACCGTCCGCATCATTCTGCAACCTCAGCACAGGGTGAGTTGAAGTCATGAATCCTGTTCTGCAGTTTTGCACTGACATTTCCAGACAATTTATATAGGTCCCTCAATATAATTGATTTGTAGCGCAACCTCTGTGCTTCGTTATATTTTCGCAGGGAGACGTTTGTGGCTTGTGTGGAAATTTCAATGGGAATGGAAAAGATGACTTTACCACTCAGGGAAATTTGCCAACTACAAATGTAATGGAGTTTGTGGACAGCTGGAAAGTGTTAAGCACCTGCCCTGATGCAAAACCAGACTTTAACCCGTGCCTTGAGACCCCCAATCGAGAGACATGGGCAAAAATACAATGTAGCATCATAAAGGAAGTTACGTTCAAAGACTGCCATAACAAGGTACAGATGGAAAGCATTTTGATTTAATACATTGAAGTTTTCTGTAATGTGGTATATAAGAATCCAACATCATAACATGTTCCCACAGGTGGATCCAAACCCATATTATGAGAACTGTGTGAAGGACTCGTGCGCGTGTGATGCAGGTGGAGATTGCGAGTGCTTCTGTACAGCTGTGGCAGCTTACGCTCAAGCCTGCAATGAGGCAGGTGTTTGTGTCGTTTGGAGAACACCTGAGATCTGCCGTAAGCATGTTTAATTCTAGTGCACATCTTAAATCTGTAACCTTTCTTTGAACAATGCATTGCCATTTTATTCCATTTCGTTTAGAGTCTGTTTGTTTGTACATGTTCATACTTAAATTCATGTTCCTCTGTTAGCTGTGTTCTGTGACTACTACAATGACCCAGGAGAATGCACATGGCACTACAGTCCTTGTCATACACCTTGCTACAAAACCTGTCTCAACCCTGATGGTATTTGCAATAACACTTTACCCAACCTGGAAGGTGAGTGCACACTAGTTTGCATTTCTGAAGACTGAGTGTACACACACTGGATATCTCTAGGCCTTAGCGTATATTTAGTGCTAAACTGGGATTAGATATGGTTCAAAGAATAAAAGAATAAAAAAAAACATTTTGATGGAAAGTAATAGAAAAGTTTTTTTTTTTGTAAAATGTATTATTTCTAATTGCTAGTAACTAACGGCTGGAAATGGCTGGGACTCTAATTTAGAAAAATTTATTAATTACTTTTAATGACCTGTCAGATGTGTATTTAAATATAAAATAATCTATAAAAACATGTAACATATTCCATGCTTCCTCCAAACATTTATTCTGATAATTAAAGGATGTCCATTGGCTGCAACCTGCATTTATCATGGGCAATCACGAAAGTCGACATTGCGATACCAACCGTAGAATACTCCGCTGCATTTATTTATTATATATCTTTTATTGCACTGTATTTTTGCTCTGAATTTGGATTCTGAATTTCGCTGTTGTAAGCTATTGAGTGAATAAAAGATAGAAATCCCTTTAATTTTCCTAAAAAGTGAACTTGAGCACCATCGCCTCCGCAAAATTCATTCCCTGGACTCCGCCCCACCACGTACCCCCACATTTACAGCCCTGGTAACAAGTTAAGAATGTTTTTTTTGTTTTTCTTCAATGATTATATAGCAAATATTTTCTCAGTAAGAGATGTCATGACATTTTCGAAGTTTTTCTCATCTGTAGCAAGCATTTTGAGAGGTATTTTGACAACTTAGAGCCACCGAATGAGGAATACGAAAAAACGCATAAGAAAATTTCGGACTCAGTGTGCAAGGACCTTTAATGTACTGGTAGACATTTCATTTATAAACTGGGACAAACTGATATGCCAGCATTTTTCATGTTTAAAATTTTAGAATGTGCCTGTTTGTATACTCTTCTGAAATAGAGTTTCTCATTTTGTCCAGTTAGATACATTAAGGAAAATAGCAGCGGAATGATTAGTGTCTAATCCCGAAGGATACTTTTTTAAAAAATGTTATGATTATTATTATTTTCAGGATGTTATCCAGAATGTCCAGAGGATAAGCCTATTTATGATGAAAAAAATCAGATCTGTGTGGAGGAATGTATGATTACAACAACACCAGAACCTACCACAACAACACCAGAACCTACCACAACAACACCAGAACCTACCACAACATCTACCCCTACATCGACAACTACCACAAAGCCTCCTACAATAACACCAGAACCTACCACATCATCTACCCCTACGCCGACTACCACAAAGTCTACTACAACACCAGAACCTCCCACAACAACACCAGAGCCTACCATATCATCTACCCCTACACCAACAACTACCACAAAGCCTCCTACAACAACATCAGAACCTCCCACATCAACACCAGAACCTACCACATCATCTACCCCTTTGCCAACTACCACAAAGTCTCCTACGACAACACCAGGACCTCCCACATCAACACCAGAACCTACCACATCATCTACCCCCACACCAACAACTACCACAAAGCCTCCTACGACAACACCAGAACCTACCACATCATCTACCCCTACAACTACCACAAAGCCTCCTACTACAACACCAGAACCTCCCACAACAACACCAGAACCTACCACATCATCTACCCCTACAACTACCACAAAGCCTCCTACTACAACACCAGAACCTCCCACAACAACACCAGTATCTACCACATCATCTACCCCTACAACTACCACAAAGCCTCCTACTACAACATCAGAACCTACCACAACAACACCAGAACCTACCACATCATCTACCCCTACAACTACCACAAAGCCTCCTACTACAACACCAGAACCTCCCACAACAACACCAGAACCTACCACATCATCTACCCCTACAACTACCACAAAGCCTCCTACTACAACACCAGAACTTCCCACAACAACACCAGAACCTACCACATCATCTACCCCTACAACTACCACAAAGCCTCCTACTACAACACCAGAACCTACCACATCAACACAAGAACCTACCACGTCATCTACCCCTACACCAACAACTACCACATTTTCATCGACAACAGCTGAGACTACGACACCATGTCTTATATGTGAGTGGTCTGAATGGTTTAATGTATATAATCCTACATTAGAAGGAGGGGATGACTTGGAGACTTATGAAAATATTGCAGGAAGTGGAAAAGATATCTGTGAACAGCCACAAGATATTGAATGTAGGGCTGTGGGCCAACCTAACATGACCTTTGAAGATTATATTCATGATTCAAAACAAGTTGCCCAGTGCAATGTTTCATATGGATTAATTTGTAAGAAAGAACAACAGGATTCCCGCCCCTATAAATGTGTTGACTATAAAATACGGGTTTACTGCTGTTTCATTTGTACAACACCACCACCATCAACAACAACAGTATTTACCACATCACCTATTACAGCAACACCAATAACACCAGAACCTACCACATCATCTACCCCTACACCGAGTACCACAAAGTCTACTACAACACCAGAACCTCCCACAACAACACCAGAGCCTACCACATCATCTACTGCTTCACCGACAACTACCACAAAGCCTCCCACAACAACACCAGAACCTACCACATCATCTACCCCTACACCGACAACCACAAAGTCTACAACAACACCAGTACCTCTCACAACAACACCAGAGCCTACCACATCATCTACCGCTTCACCGACAACTACCACAAAGCCTCCTACAACAACATCAGAACCTCCCACATCAACACCAGAACCTACCACATCATCTACCCCTACGCCAACTACCACAAAGTCTACTACAACACCAGAACCTCCCACATCAACACCAGAACCTACCACATCATCTACCCCTACACCAACAACTACCACAAAGCCTCCTACAACAACATCAGAACCTCCCACATCAACACCAGAACCTACCACATCATCTACCCCAACAACTACCACAAAGCCTCCTACTACAACACCAGAACCTCCCACAACAACACCAGAACCTACCACATCATCTACCCCTACGCCAACTACCACAAAGCCTCCTACAACAATACACGGACCAACCACATCATCTACCCCTACACCGACTACCACGAAGTCTACTACAACACCAGAACCTCCCACAACAACACCAGAGCCTACCACATCATCTACCCCTACGCCGACAACTACCACAAAGCCTCCTACAACAACACCAGGAGCTACCACATCATCTACCGCTTCACCGACATCTACCACAAAGCCTCCTACAACAACACCAGAACCTCCCACATCAACAACAGAGCCTACCACATCATCTACCCCTACACCGACAACTACCACAAAGTCTCCTACAACAACACCAGGACCTACTACATCATCTACCCATACACCGACAACAACACAGTCTGCAACAACTGAAACGATAAGTATAATTACTGGAGAAACAAGAAAAACTCCTATTACTATTACAGGAGTACCTGTAATTTCAGTATCTACCACATCATCTAACCCTACACGGACTACCACAAAGTCTACTACAACAACACCAGAACCTCCCACATCAACACCAGAACCTACCACATCATCTACCCCTACTCCAACAACTACCACAAAGTCTCCTACGACAACACCAGGACCTACCACATCATCTACCCCTACACCGACTACCACAAAGTCTACAACAACACCAGAACCTCCCACAACAACACCAGAGCCTACCACATCATCTACCGCTTCACTGACAACTACCAACAAGCCTCCTACAACAACACCAGAACCTCCCACATCAACACCAGAACCTACAACATCATCTACCCCTACACCAACTACCACAAAGTCTACTACAACACCAGAACCTCCCACAACAACACCAGAGAGTACCACATCATCTACCGCTTCACCGACAACTACCACAAAGCCTCCTACAACAACACCAGAACCTCCCACATCAACACCAGAACCTACCACATCATCTACCCCTACACCAACTACCACAAAGTCTACTACAACACCAGAACCTCCCACAACAACACCAGAGCATACCACATCATCTACCGCTTCACAGACAACTACCACAAAGCCTCCTACAACAACACCAGAACCTCCCACATCAACACTAGAACCTACCACATCATCTACCCCTACTCCAACAACTACCACAAAGTCTCCTACGACAACACCAGGACCTACCACATCATCTACCCCTACACAGACTACCACAAAGTCTACAACAACACCAGAAACTCCCACAACAACACCAGAGCCTACCACATCATCTACCGCTTCACTGACAACTACCACAAAGCCTCCTACAACAACACCAGAACCTCCCACATCAACACCAGAACCTACCACATCATCTACCCCTACACCAACTACCACAAAGTCTACTACAACACCAGAACCTCCCACAACAACACCAGAGCGTACCACATCATCTACCGCTTCACCGACAACTACCACAAAGCCTCCTACAACAACACCAGAACCTCCCACATCAACACCAGAACCTACCACATCATCTACCCCTACTCCAACAACTACCACAAAGTCTCCCACGACAACACCAGGACCTACCACATCATCTACCCCTACACCGACTACCACAAAGCCTCCTACAACAACACACGGACCTACCACATCATCTACACCTACACCGACTACCACGAAGTCTACTACAACACCAGAACCTCCCACAACAACACCAGAGCCTACCACATCATCTACCCCTACGCCGACAACTACCACAAAGCCTCCTACAACAACACCAGGAGCTACCACATCATCAACCGCTTCACCGACATCTACCACAAAGCCTCCTACAACAACACCAGAACCTCCCACATCAACAACAGAGCCTACCACATCATCTACCCCGACACCGACAACTACCACAAAGTCTCCTACAACAACACCAGGACCTACTACATCATCTACCCATACACCGACAACAACACAGTCTGCAACAACTGAAACGATAAGTATAACTACTGGAGAAACAAGAAAAACTCCTATTACTATTACAGGAGTACCTGTAATTTCAGTATCTACCACATCATCTAACCCTACATGGACTACCACAAAGTCTACTACAACAACACCAGAACCTCCCACATCAACACCAGAACCTACCACATCATCTACCCCTACTCCAACAACTACCACAAAGTCTCCTACGACAACACCAGGACCTACCACATCATCTACCCCTACACCGACTACCACAAAGTCTACAACAACACCAGAACCTCCCACAACAACACCAGAGCCTACCACATCATCTACCGCTTCACTGACAACTACCAACAAGCCTCCTACAACAACACCAGAACCTCCCACATCAACACCAGAACCTACAACATCATCTACCCCTACACCAACTACCACAAAGTCTACTACAACACCAGAACCTCCCACAACAACACCAGAGCGTACCACATCATCTACCGCTTCACCGACAACTACCACAAAGCCTCCTACAACAACACCAGAACCTCCCACATCAACACCAGAACCTACCACATCATCTACCCCTACTCCAACAACTACCACAAAGTCTCCCACGACAACACCAGGACCTACCACATCATCTACCCCTACACCGACTACCACAAAGTCTACAACAACACCAGAACCTCCCACATCAACACCAGAGCCTACCACATCATCTACCGCTTCACCGACAACTACCACAAAGCCTCCTACAACAACACCAGAACCTCCCACATCAACACCAGAACCTACCACATCATCTACCCCTACACCAACTACCACAAAGTCTACTACAACACCAGAACCTCCCACAACAACACCAGAGCCTACCACATCATCTACCGCTTCACCGACAACTACCACAAAGCCTCCTACAACAACACCAGAACCTCCCACATCAACACCAGAACCTACCATATCATCTACCCCTACACCAACTACCACAAAGTCTACTACAACACCAGAACCTCCCACAACAACACCAGAGCATACCACATCATCTACCGCTTCACCGACAACTACCACAAAGCCTCCTACAACAACACGAGAACCTCCCACATCAACACCAGAACCTACCACATCATCTACCCCTACTCCAACAACTACCACAAAGTCTCCTACGACAACACCAGGACCTACCACATCATCTACCCCTACACCGACTACCACAAAGTCTACAACAACACCAGAACCTCCCACAACAACACCAGAGCCTACCACATCATCTACCGCTTCACTGACAACTACCACAAAGCCTCCTACAACAACACCAGAACCTCCCACATCAACACCAGAACCTACCATATCATCTACCCCTACAGCAACTACCACAAAGTCTACTACAACACCAGAACCTCCCACAACAACACCAGAGCGTACCACATCATCTACCCCTACACCAACAACTACCACAAAGTCTACTACAACAACACCAGAACCTCCCATATCAACACCAGGATCTACCACATCATCTACCCCTACACCAACAACTACCACAAAGTCTCCTACAACTACACCAGGACCTACCACATCATCTACCCCTACACCAACTACCACAAAGTCTACTACAACACCAGAACCTCCTACAACAACACCAGGACCTACCACATCATCTACCCCTAAACCGACAACTACCACAAAGCCTCCTACAACAACAACGGGACCTACCACATCATCTAACCCAACAACTACCATAAAACCTACAACATCATTTACATCTACACCAACTCCAACTCCGCACTATGACTGCCCTGAATGGGACAAAAACGTAAATTTTTTAATATACTTTCATTTAATTTTGGCCTAAATATAAGTGGTGTGAATTTTTTTCTAAAGTAGAAATGTAGTTATAAGAGTATCCATGATCCCATTTAGATTTCCAAGAAAACAACATAGACTATATCGTGATTTTGCATGTATCAGTCTTTCTAATTCCAGTGTATTTTTCATTATCTCCAGACAAACGAGACCTTCATCCTGTGTAACTGCACCATGGCGAGGTGCATAGAAGACAACATTATTGAAATTATCCCATTTGAATGCCCTCCATTGCAGAACATCACCTGTGAAAATGGCAAAAAACCTGTGCTTGTGTATGATGAGCATTACTGTTGCCAGTATTACCAATGTGACTGTGAGTATACTGGTCTTCACAATTTTTATAAATAGCAATGATGCCAAATGTGCTTGATTTAAACTGTTATGCTTTCATGATTTCAAAAGTGCTTTAAATTTTGAATGTATTACTTGAAAATGCTTGTTTTTTTTCCACCTTGAACATCTAGCATTTTAAAAGAAGAAACATATTTTTTAAAAAACATTTTATTATGCGTGATTTACTTAGGTTTCATTAAGTCTCTGCTCTGATGTGGCACAAGTAAATAAAATGAATCGTAATTGGCACCTGCTTGCCTGTCACAGATTACAATGAAAAAGTGGTTGTATATTCAATTCTTCAAATGTCAACAGTTAATATACACAGTATAGACCAAATTCAGGTAATTCAGTTCACATATCTGAAGGCTTTTTGTTATTGTTCGTAGGCTTTTGTGAAGGCTGGGGTGACCCACATTACATCACATTTGATGGACTTTTCTACAGTTATCAAGGAAACTGCACTTATATATTAATGGAGGAAATAAGGCCTCAATACCATTTAAAGATCTACATTGACAATGTCTACTGTGACCCTATTGAGCATGTATCCTGTCCCAGATCCATTATTGTGTCTTACAACAAACAAGTCATAACACTAACAAATCATAATTTCATCGGAGGTGCAGACCTAGAGGTGAGACTTTCTAGATTTGGAATGATGAAACATGTTCTTTTTGTGCATTGCAGTATAAGTAACCTATGTTTTTCTTGTAATTGTCTCTTGTCCTAACAGGCTGTTAAGGACAATGTTAAGTTAAGTCTGCCATATGCTTTTAATGGTGTGAGGGTTATAAGCTCAGGCCTAGACTTGTTCCTGAGTATTCCACAGCTTGGTGTTGATATAACATTTGGAGCCACTGGCTTTGGCATCAACCTGCCATTCCAGCATTTTGGAAACAACACACAAGGTCACTGTGGTAAGTTAGCCACCCCCTGATTTTTGTATGGATGGTGACATCACAATGTGGATGGTAATGTGGAGTGTTTTTATGCATTTTTTCATCTAAATTATTCCAAATAATTATCACTAAGGAACATGCAACAACAACAGAGCTGATGACTGCATGATCCCTGGAGGGATCTTGGTGAACGACTGTGCGGTGATGGCGGATTACTGGCCAGCCAGTGGTGTGAATGGTGAAATTTGCACTCCACCAACTGCATTGCCTACAGTTGGGGGTGATCTTAAACCTACACCTAAGCCATGCGAGGCCCATCCTGAATGCAACCTCCTCAGTAGCGAGTGAGTTGATTCTGTGTGGTGTTTTAACTATAAACTTCAATAAACGGAGCTTCCAAAGTGATATTTACTACTACTGTCTTCCGCAGGTTGTTCGAAGCATGCCATTCCCATGTGTCCCCTGACAACTTCTTTTTAGGTTGTCAATATGATAGTTGTCATATGAGCAACCCTGCCGTGGTGTGTACCAGTCTGCAGAGCTACGCAAGGGCTTGCTCTCAATTAGGGGTCTGCATACACTGGAGGAACTACACTAACCTTTGCAGTAAGTTGCATTTGATATCATATTGTTTCTTTAGATTTTCCAAAACCCCAAATAGTGTTTTTGTACCTCTGTGGGTTTAAATTCCTTTTTTACATTTTAGACTCAGACTTTTGGACCCAATATTCTTCGAAGCTATGGAGGTTATTTAAGTGTATTTGTCTTTTCATCTCCAGATATCGAATGTCCAGCAGATAAAGTCTTCAATCCTTGTGGTCCAGCTGAACCACCAAGCTGTGATGATATGTACGCCCATTAATTCAAATCTTTTAATAATTTAGACAGTTGTGGAAATTAAAGTTTAGTGCTTATTCAGTATTGAGGAACATGGCAGATATGTACTTCAATATTGTCAACATTATTATGCAGTTTAAGAGTAAATAAAGCCTGTTATGCAGATTTGTTCCTCTTTATTGGTGATGTATTTTAATTGCAGACCTGAACGGAGCACCATTACAGTGCATACAGAGGGCTGCTTCTGTCCTGAGGGAACATTGCTCTTCAACAAGGAGTCAGGAGTCTGTGTGAACAAATGCGGTAAGAAGCCTCTAATTCAAGTGTGTGTGTGTGTGCATTAGGCATTCAAATTGAAATGTATAAAAAATATGTGCCTTTCTGCATCATCCTGCATGTCTTGGCCAAATTTTGAAAACATTTCTTTTGATTTTGTTCTTCCCTTTTTATTTTTAGGATGCCTGGATGCCTCTGGGACACCACGTGAGGTGCGGCGGTGTTTAAAACCATACTCAATATGAGCATTTCATTTCATAGTTCTTAAATGTATTAATTCCAGAATGCATTCCGACAATCTATGATGATCGGATGATAGAACTGGAGAGAGAACTGTGACTTATATTCATCCTTATAATTCATTCAGTTCTGAAAAGTATCCATAAAATAGTGCAACTATATTCGTACCAGTATTCTTATGTGATATGCATTTTTATGCTTATTAGATTTAAATTTTAGCTTATTGTGAGTACTCTTTATGTGAGTTGCGCTATTTGTAGTAGCTGCCTATGTAGAATTTCAAATCGGTCATTTATGAGGTTCTATCACTGGCAAACCAACAAAAATGTACAATAGTGTAAATAAAACGTAAGTAGTGACTGATCTTTTATTCCATATTATGTATTATTTTCATCAGAGTTTAACGGATTAATGAAAAGAAAAAGATGTAGGGTGGGTAATTGGTTCTATCATCAGTTGTTGATTGGATTGGATTGTTACAAGCTTGCACTTCATTGTGGAGGGGATGAACTGTATGCATGGAAAAATCATTTAGAAAATAATCTATAACACGCATTTACAAAATCAATTGGGTGAATTTATATTTAATGCCAACTTTAAAGAATTATCTCTAGGACTTTATAACCGGACTTTTAACTGAATCCTCTTGTTTTTTTTTTGTGGCAGTTTGATGAGGTTTTCGAGTACAACTGCGAAGAGTGTATTTGTGAAAAGGACAGCAAATCGGTGTCCTGTAAGCCCAAGAAGTGTCCTGATGTGAATCCTGAGAGCTGCACTGAGCCCGGCTTTGTGCTAGTCAATGTCACCGATCCCTCAGATCAATGCTGCAGCAAACAAGTTTGCAGTAAGACGAGTTTATTTACAGTTTTTAAAGGGGTTTGTTTTAGGTATGCATCGCCTAAGTCTTCTCTACTCTGTTTCGTGTAGATTGTGATGTCAGCATTTGCCCACCTTTGGATAAAAAGTGTGGAGTCGGATATGCGCCGGTCCTGGAAGTGCCTAACGGAAAATGCTGTCCAGAAATCAAATGCGGTATCACTATTATTCACACTTCACTTAATTTTTGTGATATTCTTATGCCTGTTTTCATTTCAGATGCTGTCTGTATCCCCTTGAAAATCATTCTATATAGTTTTGTAATCTTTTGTCGTTTGCTTCCATAGAGCCAAAGAAAGTTTGTGTCCATAAAAACACAGAGTATGAGGTAACTAAAATGACTCTAATATGACCATTATTAAAAATCAAATATCTCAAGTTCTTTTTTTATTTATTTAAATAATTAATAATGAAAGTTTTGCACGCTCAACTCTCTCCCCTCACTTCCCTCAGCCTGGTACCGACATCCCCGTCGTTGCCTGTCAGGAATGTAGCTGTACATGGGATGTGGATCCTAAAACACAGTGGTTCAAGATCAAATGTGGATTTGTGCAGTGCAATGAGAAATGTAAACCTGTAAGTTGTTTGACGAGTTTCTGATCGGCTTGTCTCAGGAACGAGTTTAATTATGTTGACTTCATTTGATGTTTATATTTCCCAGGGTTATGAATATATTGAGACAAGCTTTGACGACTGCTGTGGAAAGTGTGTGCAAACTCACTGCATCGTCAACGTCAATGGCGTCGAGCATATACTGCAGGTAAGGTCAAACGTCAAAAGCGCAGTCATCTTGAGGTGTGGCTGAAAAGGACAAAATTATAAATGTTGGAAGAAATTTTTTTAACTTATCATGTCAAAAACTATTTTTGGGGCTCAAAATGAAACAGTTTGTGCTGCTTTTTTTTCCATACAACAGAATTGAATTGTCCTCAAAAAAACAAAACAAAACCTGAAGCTGGACAAAAAAGCATTATAAAATTAGTTTTCTGAATGTGTGTGAGAAACAGCAAAATTTAAGCCATTATTCCATGAATCTAAATCTTAAATGTTTTTGCAATGTCCTTTAACTGAATTTGACTTGTTCTCTTTTCCTTTATAGGACGGAGCCAGTTTGCCCTCTACAAACCAGGGCTGTGACAGAATCACGTGCACTAAAGTTAATGGACAGTTCATCACTGACAAATACACAGTCCAGTGCCCTCCTTTCAACGTTTCAAACTGCCAGCCTGTCAGTACTTCAAATCTCACACAAACACACATTTACATGTTATACTGACCAGTCATTGTGATTAAATCACATTGATGACATTCTGCCCTTGTGATTCGCTCTACAGGGTACCGTTCAGCTGTCAGCTGATGGCTGCTGCCATGTTTGTGAGTATTTATAAAAAAGAAAACGATTACATTTTTTGTTGATTTGAGTCAATTATTAACGTGTCCTTGTGCATTCAATTGCCTGTGTTTGTAGGTGTGGACCAAGTTAAGGGATGTAAAGTAAAGACTGTTAGCGATTACATAAATCACATGGACTGCCAGTCAGAGAAGAAAATGGACCTTACATTTTGTAGTGGAGACTGTAACAGTTTTAGCAGGTGAGTAGGTTTCTGTTACGAAACCTAAAAGCAGCATCCTAACTGAAACAGACAGTCATAAGTGACCGATTTGAAATGCTTTTTTCTCTTTCATACATAGGTACACTGCACCTGGATTGTCTTCCTGTAGCTGTTGCCAGGCCACGCGCTCAAGTAATCGCACAGTGAATCTTGGTTGCGTAAATGGAGACATAGTAGCCCACTCGTACATCCATGTTGAAGAGTGCTCCTGTAGCAGAACTAACTGTCACGTAAATGACGCACTCATTGAAAACAGCCAAAGAAAACGCAGCTTGGGACTTCCGTGAGCAGCAGCGGTGAATCATCAAACCCATGCAAAAACTAAATGTCTCTCAAGTATCTTAGTGAAAATTTGTAATCAGAATTTAACTTAAATGGCACATTCTTTAACATTTCTTGCATTTTATCTATAGGTCTCTTCTTTTTTTCTTTGCTTGATAAAGGTGTACTCTTTTGCTTGTTTGAAATGAAAATAAATAAAAAAGCATGTTAAACCTAAACACACGTGTATTGAGTCTTGCACTAAAACATTTTATATTTTGTTTATGTTGTTCACATATTTCTATATTCCCTCTAGAACAGGACAGATACTGTATATTAAAATTTACAGCATTTGTCATAACCTTGGTGTCACTTGCACCATGATCTACTGTTTGAGCTACAGAAATACTATTAAAGTAAATGACCAAATAATGTAGTCAGCTGTTAAAATAACGTTTTACTGGTAGTGAAATTGTATAATACTATTAAATTGCTTTGAAATGTTAAGATCATCAAAGCATGTAAAATCAAGTGCACAATTGGCTTTGCTGAAATGATCTACTGCTTATATCAGTTTGTCCTCTGACATAGCATGACAGGCATTTAAGTTTTGCTCTTACCATAAAAAAACAACAATAGTCTTCAGTTACTGAGTCTTCATTTTCCTATCTCATGGAAAATGAATTGTCGGTATGTTGACTAAAATGGTATGTTTATGTTATGGTCGGTGTGTTATCCTGTTGTTAAAAGAGCAGCTTTCACTGTGTGAGATCTTCCTAATCTTTAGCAGTGGATTAAAGACCCCGTATTTAAAAAAAATACATGTATTAATCATGAAAAAATATTTAAAAGTCTGAATTTGTAAGTAAGAATTTTGTAATAAACCAGACTGAAACTTGTATTGACAGCATGTCTATACAATGTTATCAAGTATCAAGATCTCTAACAAACATGGTTGTATTTTGGGGCGATGGAAGACCACTCTGTATCGGTTTGGTTTATTATTATGTAAATACACATATAGTCCTGGTTTCACTTTGATAGGGTTTACTGTAGATTACGCCAGGATAAGATAGGTTCAGTTAGGACATTTGTAGCTTTTATAAATATGCCATTGCAAAAAACTTTACTGGTATGCATCTTGAAACAAAATGAGACAATTCCACTGACATATTTTAAGATATGGCTTAAGCCTTGTCTGTGAAACTGGGGGTTAACGTAAAAATTGTAAAGGTAATGCGACGCATACCCAAGTTATTTGATAATACCATACATCCTTAAGTACTGTTTCTTCGCATGCAGTGCAACAGAAACAAGGAACATTAAACATGAAACAGGATATGGATTTTGCATAAGATTAAATTATTAAATAGAAAAGCATTATAAACAACAGTGGATCAGCTGGTTGTTCGAGTCATCTTACATTGTATTCTATCAGAAACATTTATGGCGTTACAGCATGCCATTCTGTGGGATGCTCTGCGACATGCAACTGTTGATCCTGCTTTGGCTTTGTTTGAAACTATTTTCATTTGTAGAGTGAAATATAGACAAAATAGATACCAATATTGTGTCTTACTGCAAAACGGTCTCTTAAATCTAAATGCAAATCTCTTGCTAACCCAGAACTAGTAATTAGTAATTAAACCCCCACTGTCAGAACTCACATCCTTGTTTAGTTTGAGATGATAACACAGATACATGCAGCTTTGTTCATGAGAAGGTGTTTCTCACAAAGGTTTGGATAACCATTCTCAAATACAGCTAAATAATATTACACATTCATTTGATTAAAAGATAGAATCCTGTGGAAATGCATTAGCCGGGTTCCACCTTCTGATCACAAATTACATTCTTCTAAAGAAATCTATTCACTATAAAAGAGCAAGCGCTAATGGACAGCTCACTTTAGCTCTTGAGGATGGATCTTGTCTCCACAGGGACTGTGAGGATGTCCCAGATGTGGATGCTGAGATGGGTCGTTCTACTGGTGGGGCTGCAGACAGTGCAAGCAGGTTAGAAGATTAATAATATTGAAATCAGTTTTGTTCTCATTTTACAATGCACATTAATATGTATCTCTGTTTTTTATGTTAATACAGACAGTTATATGGAAGGAATGGGTGACTCTGAGTCTGTAGTGGACTTCATGACAACAGCAGCTGGTAACTATTTCATTTTCATGTGTGCTATGTATTAAAGGTATTAAATGGAGTCAATTTAATGCCTTTTTATGAATTGTCGTGCTGGGAAAAGTAACACATTCTTAATAAATAAAGAGGGGGGGGGGGGGGGGTCATGTGTATTTATTAGAATCAGAATAAAATATACCATTACACAAATATTATTTAAAATACAGTTTACTATATGTTCATCCCACATTAATTTGCTTCAGTTTGTAAATAAACAGCATTTATGATGTTTAAATGTATTAATTGAACAGACTAATCACAATGAATCATGGAAAACTGTTTAATTAACAAGTAAATGTTTTAAATTCACAGCCCTATTAATTGACATATCATGAAAACATTTAGTCTAAGTACTAATTTAATTGATTTACAAAGAATTAAAATAAAATAATTAAATAATAATAATTTTTAGAATAATAATAATGTATCTTGATAAATTTCTGAATATTTTAAAACAAATGTCTAAATGAACCTACACATTGTCTTGTACAATAAATACCCTCACCAATTAATTAGGGATGGTAATAACAGCAGAAATCTTAAAAACAAACTCTTCCTCATCATCTTTTTTTTTTTTTTAGTTTTCCCTCCCAACATAAATACTATGATAGTAACTAGAGGTATGTATGAAGTCTTTCATAGTTATTTATTTTTCGGTAACGCTTTAGATTACAGCCCGGAAAGTACTGTGTAATTAAGAGGAATTTACAGTGTAACTTTCTGTAATTATAGTGTACCTATAACGTACTTGCATGTATAAGGGACCAATATGTAAAGTTTGGGGAATAAAGGGATAACAACCAGGAGAATTAAAAAAATATTTATACTGTAAGTATTATAGAACTAAGGGGTACTTATTCTACTATTATGATACAACAATCTTACATTTGGGAGCAATTTAGCGAGAACGTACCTTTTTGTAATAATTGTGTACCAATACATACTGTATAGGCTTTTTAAAAATGACAGGGTACATATCTATGCATTTAAAAAAAAATCTTTTTTATTTTTTATTTTTATAGCAAAAGTGCAGATGTTTATGTTTGGGCTAACATGTTTCAAGGCAAGAAAAGCTAAGACTATTGCATTTTTTTTTAAATATACTGGGAAATATATCTGGTTTCATGTGGTTACAGGGTAAGTGGTGCTTGTATAATAAATAAAGGTTTCCGAGTCAGTGATATAAGATTGTGTGTATGCATTTTTATTGTACTTACCCTGTAACTACAGTAGAGGGTAACAAACACCACATTAATTTACGGCCGCAATGTCACACTTACCCTGTAACTACATGGAACAAGAGGGTAACAAGCACTACATGAAACAAGAGTATCTTTCCCAAAAGTTGCAATAGTTTTCATTTTCAGTGCACTTTTGTTAAAAAAATTACTTTATAAATGCATAGATATGTACCCTGTGATTTTTAAAAAGCCTATACAGTATGTACTGGTTCACCATTATTTCAAAAAGGTATATGTTCTTGCTAAATTACTCCCAAATGTAAGATTGTTGTATCATAATAGTAGAATAAGTACCCCTTAGTTCTATAATACTTACAGTATATATTTACTTATTTATCCTGGTTGTTACCCCTTTATTCCCCAAACTTAAAATATTGTTCCCTTACACTTATATTGTAAGTACGTTATAGGTACACTATAATTACAGAAGGTTACGCTGTAAAATCGCTTTAATTACGCAGTACTTTCGGGGCTGTAATCTAAAGCGTTACCTATTTTTCTTTTTAATAATTGAAACTGCCTTTTCAGTGCTAGTACAGATATATTATTGATATATATTCTCTCTTGAGTTTAGCCGAACCGAATCCTGATCATCAGTCCATGATCTGCAGCACATGGGGAAATTTCCACTTCAAGACATTCGACGGTCATTTCTTTCAAGTGCCAGACACGTGCAACTACGTTCTGGCGGTGATGTGTGACAGCACACCACCTGATTTTAACATCCAAATGCAAAGAGAGACTGTGAATGGCTCAATCATTTTTAGCAAAATCACAATAGATCTACAGGACGCAGTCATTAAACTCACCAACAACGACATCATGATGGACGACCAAGTGTGAGTTTATTTTTACTAACTTTTGAACTTTTTACTAACACATCTTTCTTTTGTTGACTGTTTTCTTTTGCAACTTGCTCTAACAGGTTGAATAATTCAACCTATAAGAATGGAATAACAGTCGAGCTGAGCACATCAAGTGTAAAGATCTCTAACAAACATGGAGTGACTGTCTTTTGGGAGAAGGACCAATCTTTATTGGTATGCTTTTTCTCTGTTCAAATATGCAATTACTGTATAGTATATTTGTAAGCTAGTGTGTCAAAAAAGGCCTGATCTCATTCCTCTAAAAATCTTATATTTTTATATAATATTCCAGATTGAACTTTCTGAGAAGTACAAAGATCAGACCTGTGGACTCTGTGGAAACTTCAATGGCGACCAGGCTGATGATTCAGTTGACAATGGTAAACCTCATTATGATAAAATCACCTGCAGTTCAGTAATTCTTATTTTATTGATATCTCATTTTGATGAAATCTTTTTTTGATACAATTTGAAACATGTACAGATGTTTCTGATCTGGCCAAATGGAAGGTGCCTTCACCTGAATCCTGTGGCGACGTCATTCTTCCCCCCAATGATCAGTGCGAAAATCAGGTATTATGACAAATTAGTAACAGATTTTTGGGCTGTGCTCACATTTCTTGAAAAATTTTTTTTTAGAAACATTTCTTTTAACATTTCTTTTCCATATTCTATTACATTTTATAATTTACTTATATAATTTATAATTGACTTCTTTTAAATTTTATAATACTCCAGCATTTGTTCAAATTTGTTATGGTTCTATATTGTCTTAATTGAAGGGCCTTTAAAAATGCTAAAAATCACCAGTGGAGTTCTATGGTTTTTTTCTTTTTAATCTCCCAGACAAGTGTTTGCCAGCAGTATCTCAGCAGTCCAGGGTTTAGGAACTGTTACAATGTGATGGACATGGGTTCATTTGAAGAAGCCTGTGTGAACGACCTGTGTCAATGCTACGGCAATCACGACTGTCTCTGCAACACACTCACGGAGATTTCACGACAGTGCACACATGCTGGAGGAAATCCAGGAACATGGAGGACAGAGCAGCTCTGCCGTGAGTATCAGTTCTGGAAGCTTGCTATAAACAAATGAAATCAATAGATAGATTTGTGACTTAATATGTGTTCTTCTGTGGAGCAGCAAAGACATGTCCTCTAAACATGCAATACCTGGAGTGTGGAAGTCCGTGCAAGAACACCTGCAAAGATCCAAACGCAAGTCTAATGTGTAACGAACACTGTGTGGACGGCTGTTTCTGCCCTGAAGGTGAGAAATTATTTACAAAATGCTAGGTGTTTTTTTGCACCTAAGCATTACCACTTGATGCGTCTATTTTCAAATGAAGCTTCTCTTTGCAAGAATAACATTATCATGCTTAAAGTATTACATTAGATGCAAGCAGAGCTTAAGTATCAGAACTGTTTGGTTTATTATGTTCTAAATAAACTTTGCCTACTTTTTGTGAAGGCACCGTTGAGGATGACATTGGTAATAACGGTTGTGTTCCTGTGAACGGCTGCCCATGTGAGCACAATGGCAACATATACTCATCAGGAAAGTCATACACACAAGCTTGTAAAACATGGTGAGTCGTTTGTAATAGACCACATGCACCAGACAGACCTGACATTTGACAGAACATACACACGCTAACACTGCTGTCATACTGTCTCAGTGTGTGTGCTGCTGGATATTGGAGCTGCACGGATCTGGAATGTCCCGGAATCTGCTCTGTTGTGGGAGGGTCTCACATCACCACTTACGATGGGAAAAAATTTACTTTTAATGGCAACTGTGAATACATCCTCACTAAGGTCTGCAACTCTCAATAAAGCAAATGCACCTTAACCTGGACTAAAAGAGACTCTCTGAAAAAAATCAATTATTTAAATTATGAATTTTATTGTTTTGTTTGTTTGCTTTCAGCACTCTAATGACAGTGATATTGCTGTCGTGGGAAATCTGGCAGTGTGTGATCCGGACCGAACAGACACATGTCTAAATTCAGTGACCCTTGTCATCTCGGGGACCACTGTAAGCTCTGTTTAATATTCATATATTTATTAATTTCTATATGACCTCATAATAATTAAATCATCTTTTAATCTCAAAATGATAGTCAGACTTGTCATACTATGCTATACTGGTTTTCAGCTAAATTTAAAAAGTAAAACAATCATGAAAACAAGACAATTCATGAAAAAAGTTTAAAATTTTTTTGTTAATTAATACATTCCATTTCTATAAACTCTAAATAAAAGCACAACTTTGACTTCAGGAAAAATGTTTTTTAACTTTTCAGTTAAAATCACCTGTTTACCCAACCGTGTGTTTACAAAAATTACAAAAATATTCATTGTTTTTCTAATTTAACAGAAATTATTAATTTAAGAGGGTTTCGAACTAACTATTTGCTAGAGAAAACAAGCAATCACTGCTAGAGGAAACAAGCATTTGTATAATTGAACTTTTGACTCAGAACCTCATACGCTGAAAGAAATTATATGATCAACATGACAACATATGATTTTTTATTGCTTTAGCTCATCAAAATAAGTTAAGCAATTTTCAACGTTTTTATGTTATATAAGATTCAGCTCATTTTTATGTCAGTTTAATGTGATTTAAGTTAAAATTACATCCAAGTTGATTGTACTTAAAAAATGTAAGGCAGCAACTAAACAATTTAATGGAATTTTTCATCCAAAAATGAAAATCCTGTCTTCATTTCCTCACCCTCACATTGTTCCAAACCCATACAAGTTTTTGAAGAATGTATTGGTTGCTTTTTTAATGTAGTGACAAAGAATGGAGCTGGAGCTTTCAAGCTTCAAAAACCATGTAGAAGCACTATGCAAGTATCATAAAAGTAATTTAGATGACCCAACGCGCTGCTGTATGATTTGTGAAGAACAAAAAGAAATTTTGCTAGTAGTGATGTTTACCTGATTTATTCTTTGAATTATTCTTTTGAGTCATTCTTTATTCGGATCACAAACCAGTCTGAATGAATCATTCATGAACTAGAATGATTTAGTTGTATTAATTGCACTATGGTTTGATCACAGCCATTAACAGCTGTCATTTCAGTGAAAAATGACTTAAATTTCAGTCGGTTTCAGTTTGTTTCTCACAAAAATAATTGGATGGCTTTATGAAAACGTGTAGTGTGCACAAGTAAATTTTTTTTTTTTTTTAAACCCAGATACTTTTTTGGTTCTTTTGCATCTCATTTTAAAACTTGAAATCTTACATGAAAAATTGGACAATTCTTGAAAAAGTTTCCTTTTGTGTCCTGAGGAAGTCAATCAGGCAATCATATTGGTTTGGCACAAGGACGACACAAGGATGATATGATGACAGAACTATTTCTATTTAATTACCTTCATACTAGCATGCAATCTTGTGTGCTTATTTTTTGTTCATTTTATTTCAGTAATCTGGATTTTCTTTAAAAATACATTCATCACAGTAAAACAATGTTGTTTTAAAAAATGTTGTTGCTGTTTTACTTTCAAAACAGATTAGTTTTTCCTCCAGTGGATCCGTTATACTGAATGGACGTCCATATCTGCTTCCTGTCCTTGAAGGTGGGTTGTCCCCAGCAAACACAAAATGCTCATCTTACGTTAGTGTATACAACAAATTGTATGTCCCATACATCCGATCTCTGTACAACCAACAGAGAACTGTTAGCTGGGTCATATAAATCACTTCACTGTACCTGTCTTACAAACTTTATTAATACTCAAAATGATCATCCCTCCTTATGGTAGTTTAGTATTTTCTATTTTTATCTTCATTTATTTTCTTATTGTTTTTATTTTACTATTTATTTTATTTTGGTGTCTCCATGTATGCATGTGAATCTTTATATAGACATAGCCTATATATATATTATTTATTTATTAAGGTGTTCCTCTCAATCAGCTCCCTTCCTAGCTTGTGAATCACTTTATCGTGTACACAAATTCCCGTACTGGCTCTGGAAGTGGTTGAAAGTGGACAAGTTCAAATTGTTTTAGACCCCATTTATACGTGTATTTAGTTTTGTCCATTTGTGATCCGATCGACCAAAACACATCTTAAAGGTTCTCTAAGTGATCCTGGGTGACGTCACTTCTTGTTGACGTTCGAACTATTGTCAAACAAAACGGAGGCTAGCTAGACCCTCCCTCCTCCTCATCCGCACACTAACCCCCCAAACCCCACCCCCAAACCCTTCTTGTCGGTCATTGGCTGGAACAGTTTGTTATGTTTTGGGGAGCGGGTCGCTGCAGTTTGTTTTTGGTGCTGTTTGTGAAGCATGGGCTGTCTACAGAGATCGCGTTTCTTTACAGTGTGTTCAGGGGACAGGCAGCCAGCGGATAGTGAGGAGATGTTTGCTGTATGTGACAAAAAATGTTTTGGCCTAAAAAACACATGACATCGCTTAGAGCACCTTTAATACCAGGTGTAAACAGTGCAAATAGCGGTTTGTTTTTTCAAAACTTCTATCGCGTGTCATGATGTGTATTGTGTATTTGGCTTGTGCAATTTATGTTTTGTGCTTCAGAAAATGTAACAGAATATACGATAAGGGAAAGTGAGCATGGATGCACCCTGGTTTTTGTGGTGCATTGCAATTGAGACAGCCTTTAAAATGGCCAAATCCCTGGTCAATGACCTGACTACTGAACTAGGGAGCTGATGATTGAGATGAAAAACTCTTTTGTGCCTGGTTTTATTTCTTACCCACTCATTTTGTTGTCCCATGCAGGTCCTGTGAGCATCTTCCAGCCCTCCTCCTCCTTCATTATTGCTGATATGAAGAGTCTTCGTCTAGAGATCCAGTTGGCTCCAGTCATGCAGTTGTATATTGTAGCCAGCACTGAAGAGAAAGGAAAAATGAGTGGTTAGTAAAAAGGACAGCAAATCATTTTGTAATTTTGATTGTAATGATGTAAGTAACAACTCTACCCTCTGCACATATATTTTAGGAAAAGACTTGTTAAACAAAGTATATATCATTGACAAAATTAATAAAGGAGTATGTTATGTCCGTCTCTAACTTCTTGCTCCTCTCAGGTCTGTGTGGAAACTATAACGACGTCCAAGAAGACGACTTTAAAACGGAATCAGGCATTACAGAGGGCACACCAACCACCTTTGTCAACTTATGGACGAAAAACTTGTTCAGTTGTACAGATGACAAAAACAAAATTTTCACAGAAAATCCCTGTAGCTTGATTTCGCAGACAGGTACAACATTAATACAACATGCACTGATAAAAGGATTTTGGGAGAATATAAAAATAGTTCATAGTATAAATAGAGGCTTTGTTTTCCCCTTCCTGATGTTTTTGATCCATGTTATTTGAGATACTAGAGAACAAGGACAGGATAGGGTTAAAATTCAGGTGTGCTGAATGTTTTTATCCATTTCATTCAGATAAAATAACTAAAGACTGGTGTTCCCGTATCACAAACCAAACCGGAGTCTTTTCCCCATGTCATTCGGAAATATGTCCTGAGATCTACTACCAAGTGAGTCTTTTTGCACTTAACAGACTCTTTTCATTTAAATGATATGGTACATAAATGTAAAGAGCCCCCTTTATTAATGTAATTTGGGTTTCATCCTGTGTAGTGGTGTGTCTATGACACCTGCAAGTGTTCAGATATTAGGAAGTGTATGTGTGCAGCTGTGTCCACTTATGCCCACGCGTGTGCTGCCAAAGGAATCATTCTCCAGGGCTGGATGGATTCAGACCCCTGTGGTGAGAACTTCATGTATTTGTTTGTTTATATGTATGGCATGAAATGTAAATGTGAATGCGAGTATTATATTATTAACGTGCATTTGAATCACATTGTGTTGATTTTGCATGAAATGAAACAATGAATCATAACAAAAGTGTGGTAATCTGTCTGGACAGTGACTGAGTGTCCAGGCAACATGAAGTACTCTTACGGAGTGACCAGCTGTGGAAGCACCTGCCGCTCTCTCAGTGTACATGATAACACCTGCCAAGGGTCCTTCACACCTGTAGACGGCTGTGTCTGTCCTGTGGGAACATACCTCAACGAAGCCGGCAGCTGTGTACATGCTGACCAGTGTCCTTGTTACTATGGTGACAAGGTCATAGACGCATCAGGAATATTCTACAATAATGGTGTTAAATGGTAAAAATAGTAGTTAAACATGCTCCATTATTGACTCATTCATTATTGATAAAAATCCTGTAGTTACTCTTGATGTTTCCTTGTCCTTTTTTGTCATGTTACAGCAAATGTAACCATGGCAAATTGAACTGCTCAAGACAAGCAGGTGAGCCGAAGATATCTCTTTAGCAATACCATCTGCCAGATTCAAACTTAAGACATCACTGAGATACAGCAACATTGGTATGATGTGTGCAAGTTTTCTGCTCCTCATCCATGTGCTATTCTGATTTAGACTGTGAAGATCCAAAGGTCTTCTTCAACTGCTCAAATCCTGGAACAAGAGGGGTAGAGTGTCAGAGGACATGTGGGAAACAAGACCTAAACAATTGTGTGAGTTGGAATGGATGGATGTATATATATATATATATATATTGGTAGGGGCATAATGTTGTACTAATGGTGGTCCTTCTTTTGTTTACATTGGCTATAGGTGAGCACAGGGTGTGTATCAGGGTGTATGTGTCCAGACGGCCTTCTGGCTGATGGCAATGGTGGGTGTGTGGAGAGGGAAAAATGTAATTGTATCTACAATGGATTCCCCTATTCTCCAGGGGACCAAGTTCAGCAGGACTGTAACACCTGGTAAGCCAGATCCAATCATCATACATAACCCACGTTGTTATAGTCTATTGTTAACAATGATGATAATTGTTTAATACAAATGTGGATTTATGTTTAATATTTCAGCACATGCACAAACGGGATGTGGAGTTGTACAGAAAAGACATGCTACGGCACCTGTACCATCTACGGTGAAGGTCATTTCAAGACTTTTGATGGCAGGAAATATTCCTTCCACGGAGACTGTGAACACACCTTAGCCCATGTATGTTTTTCCTTGTCTGTGTCCCTCAGTAGTGGATAGTAACTAAGTATTTTTTTACTTTGTTACTGTAGTCTAATTAAGTACATTTTCAAGTATCTATACTTATTTTAAAGTAAAGCCTTTATTTCATTATACCAAAGCAAAATATTAATATATGTAAGGAATAATTGACTCCGGGCTGTTGAATTATTAGAAAATAATGGGTGGGTGTGCGTTATATCATATCACCCCATATTGCAATTTAAATTTTATTTCGATTGACGTATAAAAACAGTGCGTGCATAATTATAATGCAAGTTGATATTCTAATCATATTTTTTTCCAAGAACATTTTACCAATTTCAAACCACATCAATCTCAATAACTACCATTCATTTCGTGTTTATAAGTGATATATAATTAAGGAAGGCTGGAAGTGAAAAGGCCTTTTATTCAGGTGTGCATAATTATTAAACAGGTTTTCTTTTACAGGTAAAATAGCTAGGCCAAAAAAGAGATTTCACTCGTACTGAATTTTAAAATTATTAAACGGGTTAAATCTCTTTTTTTGGCCCATTTACCTGTAAAATAAAACCTGCTTAATAATTATGCATTATCCTTACCAATTATCACTTATAAATGATTAACCACAAATAATATTAAATGTGCTCTATAAATAAAACTTGAAATAAAAGGGGATCTGGTGTCCTCGTCGTGCCAGGTAATCGTGAAGGATGGGTGGTGAAGAGATGGGATGGGTCCAGGTAAGGGGGTTCTTCACGCATGGTTCTCGGAACGCGGGTCCGGCGACTCACAACTCCCTCGGGGCGGGAATCCCTCCGCGCTCCCTCCCTGGACCCACGATGACACCAGTGTACATGCACAGGGAAGAGACCGGTCTCTCGAGGAGAGGTGCGCTCAGCATTTAACAGTGGCGGTGATGAGGCTTCATTCTCGACAGGTGTGCCTCAACCGACGAGTTAAGGAACGGGGTGGCGCTGATTAGTAGGGAGAGGCAGTCGATCCGTCACAACAGATACATTTCTTGTCGCTGAAATCTTATCGCATTGCGTCTGGTTAGGACACGGTGTAATGCTCTTATAATGAGAGTTAATTGACATGCAGGCCTAGTTGCAAAGTTACTTATAGTCAGAATAATGAATATTCATTAAATTCCCCCCTCTGTGTCAACTTCTTCACTGCTTGACATTTTAGTGTATGTGTGTGTGTGTGTGTGTGTGTGTGTGTCACCCCTCTAGGATAATTGCAATATGGACCAAACTCCCACCTTCCGCCTTGTCACAGAGAACAAAGTCTGTGAGACCACCAGCACCATCTGCAAGTCAATCAGTCTCTCCTTTGGGGTGAGTTTATTTCATAGCTCAACCTGAGCATGAATGCAGTATTAGAAAATGTGTATATGTATAATTTATATAATGGGGGTAGATATTTAAAATACAAAATCTGTACATACATATTTTTTGTCCTTAATGATAATATCATAAGATAAATATATCCAATTACCTATATCAGATTTATGGAGAATGTTTTGCTACTCATTATTCAAATCCTGCAGCGATACGAGATACTATTATCAGAAGATGGAGTCAATGTTGTTGAAACCAATGGCACAGATTACCAATATCAGATCCATTCTGCGGGGATATATATTGTCACAGAGGTCAAAGGTCTTTTGAACTTAATCTGGGACAATAAAACAAGCCTGATGCTCCAGCTCCATCCCAAATTAAAGGTATGCATTCCATAAAGGTACAGCCATTCAGACACAAACACACACAAATACTTTATCCTTTATTCAACTACTCACATAAACATCCACATGATTTCTGTGGCAGGGCAAGGTGTGTGGACTGTGTGGAAACTTTGATGGTAATGCGAACAATGACTTTATGAAGCACAATGGAGAAGTGGTGACCAATCCAGAGGAATTTGGGAATAGCTGGAAGTTGAAACTCACATGCCCAGATGTGACAAACGCAGTGGACCTTTGTGAAGAACATCCACATCGGAAAGCCTGGGCGGAAAAACGATGCAGCATCATTAATAAAGAAGCCTTTAAAAAATGTAATGCATATGTAAGTATCAGTATAAACTATTTTTAATATAAAGGTGATTTGTTAAAGGTTTATTATTTTTTCAATGTTGAAATATATGATCTGACTAAATGACAGATAACTTATTTGAAATCAATCATTATTTTTACAATTCCATTTTGTGATGCTAGTGGCACAGAAAATTATTATTTTAATAGTGTATTTTAATTTAATTTGTTCTACTAACAGTAACCTCTTGAGGAAGTGGAAGCAAAAACTTTTTCTAATCTTCTGCCATGAAGAACATGACGGAAGCTGTAAAATCTATTGTCTTTCTGTTCCTAGGTGGCCCCTCGCCCATTCTATGAAGCGTGTGTAAGGGACACCTGTGCATGTGACAGCGGAGGTGACTGTGATTGTCTCTGTACTGCAGTGGCAGCTTATGCTGCTGAATGCCGTAAAAAAGAGGTTTACGTGACATGGCGGAGTCCAGCATTTTGCCGTAAGTCACAAATTTTCCAAAAAAATAAAACAATTTTGGTTACTTTTATCTATAAACTTTAATTTGCACAGTGTCATATAACTTCTTCGAGAATATTGTCATTGTGCTGACTGAAATGATTGTTTTTGCAGCTTTATTCTGTGACTATTACAACTCCATTGAAGATTGTTACTGGCACTATAATTCCAGTGGACCTGCTTGCGTAAAAACCTGCAGAAACCCATCAGGAACCTGCTCTGATCAAATTCCTCCTCTTGAAGGTTATATTTTTACATTTACTTTTGCTCTACCAGTTGAACTTCAAAAAAACTAGATTTGACAAATCTAAGAACATATTTTTATAAATGTCCAACAGCAGAGGATTCTTTTTAAACTTTACACAATTCGCAAGAAGTCTGCAACAAGTGATGAGCATAAATACATGATAATGGATTTTAAATAAAAATACAAAATACCTCAGTTTAAATAGATCAAAATAAAATACAAAATACTATGGGGAAAATATATTAAAATACAAATAGTGGTTTGTATCTGGACAATACACAAAATAAATGTAATATTGGCCATACAGTGAAATATCAGTATTGGGCTGGACCTGTTCTGAATGCAAATAACTTTTTGAAAAAAATTTTCCCCGAAGATAGGTAGTGAACTCTCTAATGATAATTGGACTAGCTCGTAGCTGGCTGATGGCTAGTTTTGATTTCCTCATTGTTGATAAGAATTGTGTTGATTGTGAAAGAGTATCATAGCTAACTTAATATTTTAAAGGAAGCTCCGCTCTCACATGACTCTCTTTGCTGGGGATGGTTATCTGCGCAAAGCGGTTTGGGTCCCGTGGCTGCTAAGGCAAAAATTGGGTTGTAGGGATTGGAGATGGAGCTGCCAGAGGAATTTGAGACAGCTATTTCCCTTTTCCGGGCTTCACCCTCTAGCTCTGGCCAAGAGAATGTTATTATCACATCTGACTCCATGCCATGAAGAAGATGCCGGTGCTATCAGTTGTTTGATAGCTACTGTGGTTGCCACAGAGGCAGCTTTGGTATTGACCCATCCTTCAGAAATAACTTTTTCGCAAATCCAGCTTTGTACTGACCCTCATTGGTGAAGCAGTCATGCTTTAAATGATTTGCGCAAATATATAACATTTTACCGACATTCTTCGGCACATTTCCGTCAAAAATAAAATTCAACCACGGTGTCCTCAGTGGCTCGGATCCCAGGAGTTTATGGAGACTTGTATGTTCGTTGGTACATCCACCAACATAACAATTATAATGTATTTAAGAGCAGACATTGTAATACTAGCAGAAACAGAAGGTAAAGAGTAATGGGGGACTGCAGCTTCTCACTCAGGGCGGGATCTATGCTAAAGGGCAGATCATCACCTGTCGTGGGCGGAGTTTCCTTACTCTTACGTAGGAGTAGGGGGAAATTTGAAACAGTTTGTTCTGAGAGATTGAAAATGATCTATGAGGATTCCAAAAAAGTATTGGGTGGGTTTTTACCATTATAGGCTGGTTGTTTACACACACTGTGGACACACATCTGTGTTCACCTTATAAAAGTGAATTTTACATAATAAGTCCCTTTTAAAATTATACTAGATAGCTTATAGATAGTTGTTGCAACGCTATAATAAACATTTTTTTTTAATCCCCATATGACCTGTCAATAACCAAGTCTCTTTTTTGTCTATTTCTGCTTTCCTTTTATTAAACTAGGATGTTTTCCTAAGTGCCCTTTAGATAAGCCATATCTGAATGAGATGACCATGAAGTGTGTTGCATGTTGTCCAGAAATGTGTATAGAAACATTCACAACATCAACAGCGACACCTACAACCACTTCTACAACAACTACAATTACTAAAACAACATCTACAGAGACAGAAACAACACCTTCCACAACACCAACAGCGACGCCTACAACCACTTCCACTACTACTACAACTACTGTAACAACAACATCTACAGAGACAGAAACAACACCTACTACAACAACATCAACAGAGACACCTACAATCACATCTACTACTACACCAACTACTGGAACCTCGACACCTACATCAACAGAAACACCATCTACAACTAGTACAACTACTGGTACAACACCACCCATTGTTTGGTCAACATCTACGTCAACAGAGACATCCACAATCACATCTACTACTACACCAAGTACTCGAACATCGACACCTACATCAACACAAACACCATCTACAACTGGTGCAATAACACCTACGTTTTGTTGTAAGTTGTCAGACTGGTCAGACTGGTTTGACAGCAACAAACCCAGCACAGGACCACAAGGATTGGAAACTGAATCCATTGATGCTTTGTGGACTTCAGAAAAAATAACCTGTCAGAAACCAGAAGAAATTGAATGCAGGGCAGTAGATTATCCAGAAAAGCCTTTGAAAGAATTGCAGCAAACCGTGCATTGCAATGCATCATATGGTCTGAAATGTTCAAATAAAGAAAATTCACGTGAAATGAAACCATATTGTCATAACTATGAAATTCGTGTATGTTGCAGGAAAAGTGATTGTTCTACAACCTCTTCTATTACTACAACTACAACTACAATATCTTCTGCAACAACAACACCTTCTACAACAACATCAACAGAGACACCTACAACCATTTCCACTACTACTACAACAATTACTGTAACAACAACATCTACAGAGACAGAAACAACACCTTCTACAACTCCTACAAAACCAACATCAACAGAGACACCTACAACCACTTCAATTACCACAACAACTACTGAAACAACAACATCTACAGAAACAACACCTTCCTCAACAACATCAACAGAGACACCTACAACAACTACTGAAACAACAACATCTACAGAGACGAAAACAACACCTTCCTCAACAACATCAACAGAGACACCTACAACCTCTTCCACCCCTACAACAATTACTGTAACCTTTACAGAGACAGAAACAACACCTTCCTCAACAACACCAACAGAGACACCTACAACAACTACTGAAACAACAACATCTACAGAGACAGAAACAACACCTTCCTCAACAACATCAACAGAGACACCTACAATCACATCTACTACTACACCAACTACTGGAACCTCGACACCTACATCAACAGAAACACCATCTACAACTAGTACAACTACTGGTACAACACCACCTATTGTTTGGTCAACATCTACGTCAACAGAGACATCTACAATCACATCTACTACTACACCAAGTACTCGAACATCGACACCTACATCAACACAAACCCTATCTACAACTGGTGCAATAACACCTACGTTTTGTTGTAAGTTGTCAGACTGGTCGGACTGGTTTGACAGCAACAAACCCAGCACAGGACCACAAGGATTGGAAACTGAATCCATTGATGCTTTGTGGACTTCAGAAAAAATAACCTGTCAGAAACCAGAAGAAATTGAATGCAGGGCAGTAGATTATCCAGAAAAGCCTTTGAAAGAATTGCAGCAAACCGTGCATTGCAATGCATCATATGGTCTGAAATGTTCAAATAAAGAAAATGCACGTAAAATGAAACCATATTGTCATAACTATGAAATTCGTGTATGTTGCAGGAAAAGTGATTGTTCTACAACCACTTCTATTGCTACAACTACAACTACAATATCTTCTGCAACAACAACACCTTCTACAACAACATCAACAGAGAGACCTACAACCATTTCCACTACTACTACAACAATTACTGTAACAACAACATCTACAGAGACAGAAACAACACCTTCTACAACATCAACAGAGACACCTACAACCACTTCAATTACTACAACAACTACTGAAACAACAACATCTACAGAGACAGAAACAACACCTTCCTCAACAACATCAACAGAGACACCTACAACCACTTCCAGTACTACAACAACTACTGTAACAACAACATCTACAGAGACAGAAACAACACCTTCCTCAACAACATCAACAGAGACACCTACAACCACTTCCAGTACTACAACAACTACTGAAACAACAACATCTACAGAGACAGAAACAACACCTTCCTCAACTACCTCAACAGAGACACCTACAACCACTTCCACCCCTACAACAATTACTGTAACAGCAACATCTACAGATACAGAAACAACACCTTCTACAACTCCTACAACACCAACATCAACAGAGACACCTACAACCACTTCCATTACTACAACAACTACTGTAACAACAATATCTACAGATACAGAAACAACACCTTCCTCAACAACATCAACAGAGACACCTACAACAACTACTGAAACAACAACATCTACAGAGACGAAAACAACACCTTCCTCAACAACATCAACAGAGACACCTACAACCTCTTCCACCCCTACAACAATTACTGTAACCTTTACAGAGACAGAAACAACACCTTCCTCAACAACACCAACAGAGACACCTACAACAACTACTGAAACAACAACATCTACAGAGACAGAAACAACACCTTCCTCAACAACATCAACAGAGACACCTACAATCACATCTACTACTACACCAACTACTGGAACCTCGACACCTACATCAACAGAAACACCATCTACAACTAGTACAACTACTGGTACAACACCACCCATTGTTTGGTCAACATCTACGTCAACAGAGACATCTACAATCACATCTACTACTACACCAAGTACTCGAACATCGACACCTACATCAACACAAACCCTATCTACAACTGGTGCAATAACACCTACGTTTTGTTGTAAGTTGTCAGACTGGTCGGACTGGTTTGACAGCAACAAACCCAGCACAGGACCACAAGGATTGGAAACTGAATCCATTGATGCTTTGTGGACTTCAGAAAAAATAACCTGTCAGAAACCAGAAGAAATTGAATGCAGGGCAGTAGATTATCCAGAAAAGCCTTTGAAAGAATTGCAGCAAACCGTGCATTGCAATGCATCATATGGTCTGAAATGTTCAAATAAAGAAAATGCACGTAAAATGAAACCATATTGTCATAACTATGAAATTCGTGTATGTTGCAGGAAAAGTGATTGTTCTACAACCACTTCTATTGCTACAACTACAATATCTTCTGCAACAACAACACCTTCTACAACAACATCAACAGAGAGACCTACAACCATTTCCACTACTACTACAACAATTACTGTAACAACAACATCTACAGAGACAGAAACAACACCTTCTACAACATCAACAGAGACACCTACAACCACTTCAATTACTACAACAACTACTGAAACAACAACATCTACAGAGACAGAAACAACACCTTCCTCAACAACATCAACAGAGACACCTACAACCACTTCCAGTACTACAACAACTACTGTAACAACAACATCTACAGAGACAGAAACAACACCTTCCTCAACAACATCAACAGAGACACCTACAACCACTTCCAGTACTACAACAACTACTGAAACAACAACATCTACAGAGACAGAAACAACACCTTCCTCAACTACCTCAACAGAGACACCTACAACCACTTCCACCCCTACAACAATTACTGTAACAGCAACATTTACAGAGACAGAAACAACACCTTCTACAACTCCTACAACACCAACATCACCAGAGACACCTACAACCACTTCCATTACTACAACAACTACTGTAACAACAACATCTACAGATACAGAAACAACACCTTCCTCAACATCATCAACAGAGACACCTACAACCACTTCCAGTACTACAACAACTACTGTAACAACAACATCTACAGAGACAGAAACAACACCTTCTACAACTCCTACAACATCAACAGAGACACCTACAACCACTTCCATTACTACAACAACTACTGAAACAACAACATCTACAGAGACAGAATCAACACCTTCCTCAACATCATCAACAGAGACACCTACAACCACTTCCAGTACTACAACAACTACTGTAACAGCAACATCTACAGAGGCAGAAACAACACCTTCCTCAACAACATCAACAGAGACACCTACAACCACTTCCAGTACCACAACAACTACTGTAACAACATCTACAGAGACAGAAACAACACCTTCCTCAACAACATCAACAGAGACACCTACAACCACTTCCAGTACAACAACAACTACTGAAACAACAACATCTAAAGAGACAGAAACAACACCTTCCTCAACAACATCAACAGAGACACCTACAACAACTACTGAAACAACAACATCTACAGAGACAGAAACAACACCTTCCTCAACAACATCAACAGAGACACCTACAACCGCTTCCACCCCTACAACAATTACTGTAACAGCAACATTTACAGAGACAGAAACACCACCTTCTACAACTCCTACAAAACCAACATCAACAGAGACACCTACAACCACTTCCATTACCACAACAACTACTGAAACAACAACATCTACAGAGACAGAAACAACACCTTCCTCAACAACATCAACAGAGACACCTACAACAACTACTGAAACAACAACATCTACAGAGACGAAAACAACACCTTCCTCAACAACATCAACAGAGACACCTACAACCACTTCCACCCCTACAACAATTACTGTAACCTTTACAGAGACAGAAACAACACCTTCCTCAACAACACCAACAGAGACACCTACAACAACTACTGAAACAACAACATCTACAGAGACAGAAACAACACCTTCCTCAACAACATCAACAGAGACACCTACAACAACTACTGAAACAACAACATCTACAGAGACAGAAACAACACCTTCCTCAACATCATCAACAGAGACACCTACAACGACTTCCAGTACTACAACAACTACTGAAACAACAACATCTACAGAGACAGAATCAACACCTTCCTCAACATCATCAATAGAGACACCTACAACCACTTCCAGTACCACAACAACTACTGTAACAACAACATCTACAGAGACAGAAACAACACCTTCCTCAACAACATCAACAGAGACACCTACAACCACTTCCACCCCTACAACAATTACTGTAACCTTTACAGAGACAGAAACAACACCTTCTACAACAACAACAGAGACACCTACGACCACTTCCACCACTACAATTACTGGAACAACAACGTCTACAGAGACGAAACCAACACCTTCTACAACAACATCAACAGAAACACCTACAACCACTTCCACCACTAGAACAACTACTGTTACAACAACATCTACAGAGACAGAAACAACACCTAGAATTCATACAACACCAACATCGACAAAGACACCTACGACCACTTCCACCAATACAACAACTACTGGAACAACAGAATTCAAGGAGACACAATCCAAAACTACACCTGGTATTTCTTCGACGGAGTCTTCTTCACACTCCACAACCAGCAGTAGTACCACCCCATGTAACCCAGAGGTAACCTAATCAGAAAATAAACACACTTGTATTATTGGGCTAAGCACCAAATCTGTGTTGGCCTAGCACCTAGTGCTGTCTTCTCTCAATACTGAGGATTTGAACAAATCCCTAACCCTAACTATATTTTCAATGTGTGGCTTGTTCCACAACTTTTGGGCTTCAGACATGAATAAGGCCTTAAATTATGCCCTTTCTGAGGAGTGCTATTGGATGAGAATGTGCTATTTCTTTCTAAGCAAATTCAATTACAAATGTCATAGATTTACAGTAAAGGAGGCACCTTAGTCAGATTTAAAGCTGCATTCCGTAACTTTTTTGGGTGAAAAATTATCCAAAATAATTTTGGGAGCAAGTACATAACCAGCCAGTGTTCAAAACTATCTGCTTGCCTTAGCTCGATTTTAAAACGGTAAGCTTGTAATAATGTTTTTAATTCCAGTGGTACTGGTGGATTTCCGCGGGAAATTCGAGCATGTCTTTGCGTCATTACGTGACATCTGTACACTTAAAGAAGGTGTCTCGGCTAGTAGGCTATATTGTGTGTGAGGATGTTAGAGGTGGAGATTTATAGCCTTTTCTCACAGCACTTGATATAATTAAACGTATCAATTTGATAGCGGATCCAGAAAGGTTCAAACGACAATTACCAGTGACAACTGGAGATTTACCCGTTGTAAAATGCAAAAGACTTAGTTCGGACTTCGGAGTGGCTACAGAAAAAAAGAGACTGCAACCGGCCCATGTGAAAACAAGGATAATATCGGAAGGGGATAAATGTAGTCACGCAATGCTGATGTTGTTAACATTAACAATTTGAGAACAAAGTATAATTTGCACAGTTTGACATGATATGATAAGCGATCGTTAGATATAATCAGTGTGATTTACTGCAATGCCTTTCCCCCCTTACTTGTTCAGATGACATTTTCTGGTGAAAATTCTTATGTTGGTCATACTTCCAAAAAGTAGAATCTGTGATTCCGAATGCAAGTATCCACACCAGCGTGGTGACTGACAGCCGCACATTCTCCTCAAAACATTGAATTCATCCGCGCTGTGCCGTGCCGAGGCACAACCTATGTAAAGTTGATAATTCCGCGAATAACTGCAATTGCAGATTTCGAACAGAGATGGCAACAAAGAGGAAAAACTACGGACTGCAGCTTTAAGATCTAAAATGATTGTTATTTTGATTTGGGCTAGTAAGCTCCTAGGAAGAACCCTAGCAAAAGCATAGCAGTGTTCTAACAGATGAGAACAGGAGTGCTAACAACTAAAAAAATTAATGAAAATGTAATTAAATTATCTTATTAAGCACAGCAAAATACAATGACTGAATACTATATAATGTTAATGTATAATGATATTTAGTAGGGCTGGGACGATACCCCATCTATCTACCGATTCGATACTATCATGATACTTGGGTGCCGATACGATATGATTTGCGTTTTTTTTTTTCAAGAATTGCGATTCTACAAGTATTGTGATTCGATATTGCAATGTATTGCATTTAAAAAATGTTGCGATTTGATTTTGTCAAAGGTTTAACAGACAGACAAATTGGAAGAAGATCACCTGGGGAAATCACAGTCATTAATCATGCTCTATTGTCTTGTCTCTCACTCCGCATATGAGTAGCGCGAGGGCTTTTCAGTGCATTCCATCTCTGCATTTGAAATTCTCACTGGACGCAATTGGATAACACTACGACCAATCACAACAATACGTCCCATACGCTTAGCTACCATTGGAGTTAACTGGTAGATTAGACTCTTGCCATATCCGGTCGGCAAAACAGCAAAAACGTCCTTCTTGCAAAGGAACGATTCAAGCATCGTCTTCTGTTCCTCTTTTAATGACTTCGACGTCACAGCGCAGTCGTCATCTGTTTAGCCTGCCTCTGGACCGCCTATATCAGATGCACCGATGTGATTGGTGCAGCTCGGCTACAAGGGCATAGTTAATAAGCATCATTACTCGATGCCAGAGTAACTCGCTGAGCAAATTCAAATTGTGCTATCGCGAGAACTCTGGATTTCCAGGGTACTTAACACTTATTAACGACACATTTCATACTCTGTTGGAACAAAAGTGGCTAACTTCTACCAACCTCATCTATAAACAAAGAAAAAAAATAAAGCAATTCAAACAAAAAAAGCGCGATAATTTGGTGAATCGATTTTTTGTCCCAGGCCTATTGTTTAGTATTTTGTAAAACTAGAGTTCAGTTTATAGCTTATGTAAATCTACGTGAAGTGACGTGTAGCAAAGTATGATGTCCCATAGGCTACTCGTCAACTACCTACATATCGTCTTTGTCTTTATATATTAATTTTATATTTTATATTAATTAATATTTGTTTATTTATGTACACTTTTAACTGTGCAACTCAATCCCTATACAGTGTGACCCAATCGATGAAACCAATTTTTACTGTGTCAATGGATTTCCACCTGAGAAAGTGTATTATAACAATGGCTCCTGCTGCAAGTATGAGTGTGAATGTGAGTTTAATCTATGCTCAGCTAAATTGTATTATTATTAATATTATTCCTAATGGTAATATAAAAACAAAAAAATATTAATATTGTCTTTTCCAATGCATTATATTTAAACTTTGTTTTAAATGTTTTTTCTCAAACAACAGGTAGATGCAACAGCTGGGGTGACCCTCATTACACAACCTTTGATGGATATTATTATACTTTCCAAGGAAACTGCACATATGTTCTGTTCCAAGAAATTATCCCAAGATACAATATCAGTGTCCATGTTAAAAACTTTTATTGTGATGTTAAAAAAAATCTTGCCTGCCCAGAATATGTCATTGTGAACTACAAATCCTATAAAATCAAGCTGACAAGCAACACTACTAAAGTCCAGGTGAGTGGCATGACTACTTAAAAAAAACATTACGGTTAAAAAACATTACGGTTTTCTATTACGGTTCGGTTCAGGTCGGGACTAGGGTGGCCATGGCAGAACCTTAATTTTGTAGTCAGTAACCAATTTACTGTTGTTGTTGTTTTGTTGATTTTGATGTTTCCTTTGATCATTCTGATGGAAAACCCTACCACGGCCCAATATATAATTTCTAGCAGAGGCAATAAGGTTTTTTTTTTTATCTGTTGGTATTTGATAGAACCTATGATGCCAAATATCTGAACAAGATATCCAGCCCCTCAGCATTAAAGATACAGCAGTATATTTAATTAAACACACGTGTGTGTTTGCTGCCAAAAAGCTCATCATTTTTTAGTTTTCGGAATTCTCCAGCTGTGATCCTTGGAGAGTCTTTTGCCACTTAAACTATCCTCCATGCCTTGCATTAAGACAATATAGACACATCCTCTTCCAGGCAGATTCATAGTATTTTTTGGTGATTGGAAATTCTTAATTATTTCCCTGGTGATGGAAATGGGGATTTTCAATGCTTTAGCTATTTTCTTACAGCCACTTTCTACTTTGTGAAGCTCAACAATCTTTTACTGCACATCAGAACTGTGATAGATGATTAAGAGAATTTGGCCTTTGTGTTTCCTCATATCCTGTGAAACAAGAGGTCATGGCTGGACAATTTCATGTTACTACCCTAACTAAAAATGTAAATATGAATGGGAAAATACTTCAAAGATATTTTTTATAATAATACCGATAACTGTGGCCAACGTTTTGGAGAAACACAGTTATTTGATAATGTGATTTTTAGCCCACTTTCATTTGTTTTACTTGTTGAAAGCTAAGATTTTTTGTGATTTTTTTTTTAACAATGCAGATTTACTTTCACTGCCTTTGATCATATTTACCAAAGGTTCCAATAAATCTGACCACAGCTTGCAGGCCGTTGTTCACTGCATAAAAAACAATGTGGACCACACAAGCCCGTTCATCATTTCATATGAAACCATATTTAATGTAAATGGGTTGTAAATTCTTTTACCCTGAATAATTTTGTTCATGATTAACTAACCACCATCAAGAATCTGGGTCGGTCACATAACATCCATTTTAGCATCTGCCTTATTTGGAAAGCATTTTCTTTCTTTTAAAAGGTGGTGAGGTTACTTATACTTTCTTAATTACACATAATACAGTTCATTGCATTTTATTATTATTTGCTTTTCACGCAAACTATTTAGCATTGTATTTCTCTGCTGTCCACAACTGTCAAAATACTAATAGACTTTAGATTAATTTAACGGACTTCAACCCACCAGTTGAGAACCAGTGCTGTCATGTTGTTCATGGCAAAATAACATAATATTCTAGAACATGATTCATCATAACTCCAAAATGCCTTTTGTTTCTCACAGGTCTATGTTAATGATTTAATGATAACACCAACCTCCCAGCTGGGAGATATAATCATCAGCACAACTGACATTGCAGTGCTAGTGAATGTGTCTGATATAAAAGTTGAGATTTTAGTCAGTAATCTAGCTGTCTCTGTCAAACTCCCATTCTCGTACTTCCATGGTAATACTGAGGGACAATGTGGTGAGTACAGATCTTAAGTCAAGTCACCTTTATGCGGGATAAGAATGAGATAGACAGACTAATAGTGTAGATATCATTCTTCTTATGATGTAACGAGTACATCAGTTGTTATAGTAAGTGTTCCCAGTTCCGGCTGACCTAATCTATGCAGCCTAACAATCATCTAACTGATTTGAAAAAAGAAAAAAGATAATGTGTTATGTGTATGCCAGGTTAAAGAGATGTGTTTTTAGTCTAGATTTAAACTGACAAGAGTGTGTCTGCTTCCTGAACAATGCTAGGAAGACTGTTCCAAAGTTTAGGTGCTAAATATGAAATAGCGCCTGCAGGTGATATTCTAGGTATTATCAACTACCCAGTAGAGCATTACAATAATCTAGGCTTGAGTTCATGAATGCATGAACTAACTGTTCCGCATTTGTCATTCACTCAACAAAAAAAATTATGCCTTTTTTTGTTGATTTATACATTGTAATTAAAAGTAATATTCCATCAAATTGAACTGAATAATCCTTACATATTTTAATTGAACAATTTAACAATCCTTAATCAATTGAAATGTGTAAGTATATTATTCAGTTCAATGGAATTTTACTATTAATTGAAATGTGTAAATCTTTAAAAGGCTTAATTATTTGAGTGTTGAGAGCATGACAATTATGTCAAAATTTAGATATATTTTTAAGATGTTAGAATGGGGTTTTACAGATAGAAATGTGGCTTTCAAATGATAGATTGGTATCAGAGAGCACACCCAGGTTCCTTGCTAAATACGAAGACTTGACACTTGTAAAATGACAGTGTTAAATAAATTTGTTGTTGAACTTATCCGTTGAACTTGTACAAAGATCATTATCTTTGATCTAGTATAGCCTAATTCAAGTTTTTCTAACTACAGTTGACTTGTTTTTTTTAAGGGGTTTGTGACAATAGCACAGCAAATGATTGCAGGCTCCCTAATGGAACAATTGACAAATCTTGCGAACACATGGCACAGTTGTGGATGGTACCCCCAGGATGCAATCCTCCTAATGTAACTACACCTCCACCAACCTGTACACCGGAAGTGAACCATGCCTGTGAACTCATCAAGGGAAAGTAAGGCAAAGCCAAAACTTTAATCTTTCAAAATATAATTGTAACTGCATAATAGCTCTATTCCAACACTTAGCAAGCTGCTTACGCAGGCATACGCATGCTTCTGACTCCAGAAGTTATATAATCATGCTGCCTATGCCTTTTGGCCACATTTAGCAAGACATTTTGCTTGTTGACCATTCCTGACAATGATTTCAGACTATTTACTCTCCTTTTTTTTATACCACCCCACCACCTCAAAATAAAAATAAATAAATAAAAACAATTCTGATCTGACCCTGACTGTTACAATGTGGTAGCAAGGCAGCTCACTATGTTTTGGAACAGAGCTTGTGACAAATTTCATTTATGACATAATGTAGTTTGTTTGTAACACTGAGTAGCATTATTAAACTTTATATTATTAAACCGTGATATACTGTAGTTTTGCAGTGTTTTAAAGGAATATTTCACCCAAACAATGAAAATACTGTCATTCTAAAAACTCGGTAACACTTTATAATAACTACACGCTAATTATCATTAGTTAAGCATGAGTAAACAGTTAATTCATCATTCATAAAGCATTAATAGACATTAATAAGCAGTTTATAAATACAGCTATAAATGCTTTCTTCTTGATTTACAAGCATATCTATAGTTTATTTAATAATTGCATTTTCATCCTTTATTAATGATCAATTTATTATTTCTAAATGAATAATTGCATTTTTTATAAACCAGTTATTTAAGAGTTTTCAGTGGTTCATAAGATTACTTAGAACGTGTAAGTAAATGATTAATAAACTATTTAAATGTACATTCATACATCTTATTATTCAGACATATAGTGATGGTTACTTAGTGTGTTAATAAATGCTTTATTAACATGTATTTATGCTGTAATTCAGGGTTAATTCGGGTAGTTATAAAGCATTTAGTAGTGGTCAGTTAACTATGTTTGTGAGCTCATCTAAAGTGAGGACTATTCATGCCTTGTAAAGCATTTATAAAGGAGATTTAAAGGCTGTTAAATATTTCCATGTTCTGTATCACTGTGTTGTGTTTGTTACATTTTACTGTTTAGAAGATTGATGAGCCTTTAAATCTCCTTTATAAATGCTTTACAAGGCATGAATAGTCCTCACTTTAGATTAGCTCACAAAATAGTTAACATACCACTACTAAATGCTTTATAACTACCTGTATTTACTACATTTACTTACACTTAAGTGATCTTATGAATGACTGACAACTCTTGTTTGTAAATAATGCTATACTTCATTTAGAAATTATTAATTGATCATTAACAAAGTATGAAAATACAATTATTAAACGCATTATAGATATGCTTATAAATCAAGAAAAAAAGCGTTTATAGCTGTATTTATAAACTGCTTATTAATGTCTATTAATGCTTTATAAATGATGAATTAACTGTTTACTCATGCTTAACAAAAGATTAATAGCATTCAGTTATTATAAAGTGTTACCAAAAACTCTTTCTTCTGTTGGACACAAAAGGAAATGTACAACGCCTGTGAACTGCTTTTTCCATACAATTAGGCCTACTATTCAAAGTGAATGGGCAGCAGGTATTGTCAAGCTCCAAAAAAAAACCTAAAATGCACGACATTTTTCGTAAAATCGGTCAATAGGAATTAAGCATTAAATTCCTTTTCTTTACATTTCTTTTAAATTCTTTCATTTTCATTTTCTGAAACCATACAGCAACACTCTGTGACAGAACGACATTTAAATATTGATCTCCACTCAAGTCACATTTATTTATTTAGCGCTTTTTACAATACAGATTGTTTCAAAGCAGCTTTACAGAGATAACAGGAAAATAATGCAACAAAGTTTGTTTCCAGAAGAAAATAGCATCACAGTCCAGCTTAAGAAAGTTAAGTGATGTTTAATTTTGTTGTAAAAAGTTATCAATTTAGTTCATTTATATATATATATGGAGAAAAAACCTTGTGAGAAAACCAGGCTCAGTCGGGGGGCCAGTTCTCCTCTGGCGAACAAACTATCAGTGTTTGATTATGATTCAGGCAGCATTATTGGTCAGAAGTCAGATTGGATTTGAATATTATACAGTTACATTGGGTTTAAGATCGGAGTCATCACACCGGTATGGAGAAGGGTTTGTTGAGGATCAGTGCCGATTGCTGTTGTGTCTAGTGAGAGTCTAGTTGACAATCTCTCTTGACACTTCAAGGATGCGTTGTGGTTGTGTCTAGGTGCAGGTCCTCCATTTGATCTGAATCCACTGAAGCTCTAAATTCAATTATGGTGCCTAAAAACACATTTTGCCAGGTTTTAGATCCCTTTAGGGAGCTTGACATCACCAATTCCCATTCAGCTTCAGTATTTGGGTTCTTTAAAAAAAAAAAAAAAACTCAACTTTTATCACGTGATGAATTTCCCTAAAGGGAATGTCCCTAATTTCCCCAATGTCCTTTAAAATTTGACCATTTAAGTTTTTTTTTTTATCTCTGACATTTTTTTGTTGTTGCTAATATTGAAAGTCACAATTTTGTATTTTCTTCACAGATTATTTGAAAAATGTCATGAGTTTGTTCCATATCAACACTATTATGAGGCATGCAAATATGACGTGTGTGCCCTTAAAAATAAGTCTGTTGCGTGTACCAGCCTGGAGGCCTATGCACAGCAATGCGGCCTGCAGTCTGTTTGTGTGGACTGGAAAAACTCAGCTGATCTCAAAGGGCTATGCGGTAAAACAGCTAAATTAACCCACCATTGCAGTACTTTATAGCAGAGTATATTCTTTCAGTATTTTTAAGGCATTTTTTAATTTTAATTCTCCACTTAAATACTCCTCAACTCAACAATTCATTAGGTTGATATAGTAAACATACCTAACACAGTTCCACTTATAAGAGGATTCTGAATTTATTAATTGTTGGTTTCCATAACAGAATACAAGTGCCCAAGTAACAAAGTCTACAAGGCATGTGGGCCTAAAATAGAACAAACCTGCAGTACAAGGTAATGGTCTAATCTCTAGTCATGACATAACATCATCTTTGTGTGGAGTAAATGTAATACTAAATGCTCCAAATAGTACAGTGTGTAACAGTCTTCTTTTGTATTTAAATACCAGATACAATGATATGTTTGTGGAGAAAGATTGCCAAGGCAAAAATTGTCAAAACACATTCATGGAAGGTTGTTTCTGTCCTAACAACACATATCGAGTTAGTTCAACGACAGATAAATGTACACCTAACTGCGGTAAGAAATGTTACTTCATTTACTGTCTGTGTTTATAGATGAAGGCTCTTTATGCCATACTTTTATTAATTTTGTATTAATCCCTCCTTGTAGATTGCATGGGCCCTGATGGGTTACCTAGACTGGTATGTCTCTGTTGTGGATTACATTAACTACAGTAGTTACATTAACTAACTAGCATTAACTAACTGTCACTAATGATCATCTTTTGTAGCCCGGGAATACCTGGATCTTTAACTGTACCATATACAGCTGCTCCAATGACACCTTTGGTATTACGAAAGAGATTGTTAAGTGTCCCACCATTAAACCCTGTGGCAAAGAATACAAAACAACAATTAATGACTGCTGTCCAACCTGTGGTTAGTCAAAATGAAAATAGTTTTTAAGTCATTCTGAATAGCAAACTAAAACAAAATGACTAAATGATTTGCTGTTTCATCTCAACCCATTCAGTGTGTGATTTCGAGCTGTGTCTTCAGAAGAAATGTGATGTGGGATTTGAGTTGTCAGCAAATACGACTAATAATAGTTGCTGTCCAGCCTGTGGTAAGTCTCAGATTTTTAGTTCATCTGCATTTAAACCAGTAGTCTGAGTAATTGTTCATATTATTGCTGTTACAGTATACATACTTTACAAGTAAATTCAATGGACATATTGAATTTGAATGGGCATATACACTCACATAAAGGATTATTAGGAACACCTGTTCAATTTCTCATTAATTCAATTATCTAATCAACCAATCACATGGCAGTTGCTTCAATGCATTTAGGGGTGTGGTCCTGGTCAAGACAATCTCCTGAACTCCAAACTGAATGTCAGAATGGGAAAGAAAGGTGATTTAAGCAATTTTGAGCGTGGCATGGTTGTTGGTGCCAGACGGGTTTCTAGGGTTTACAAAGAATGGTGTGAAAAGGGAAAAACATCCAGTATGCGGCAGTCCTGTGGGCGGAAATGCCTTGTTGATGCTAGAGGTCAGAGGAGAATGGGCCGACTGATTCAAGCTGATAGAAGAGCAACTTTGACTGAAATAACCACTCGTTACAACCGAGGTATGCAGCAAAGCATTTGTGAAGCCACAACACGCACAACCTTGAGGCGGATGGGCTACAACAGCAGAAGACCCCACCGGGTACCACTCATCTCCACTACAAATAGGAAAAAGAGGCTACAATTTGCAAGAGCTCACCAAAATTGGACAGTTGAAGACTGGAAAAATGTTGCCTGGTCTGATAAGTCTCGATTTCTGTTGAGACATTCAGATGGTAGAGTCAGAATTTGGCGTAAACAGAATGAGAACATGGATCCATCATGCCTTGTTACCACTGTGCAGGCTGGTGGTGGTGGTGTAATGGTGTGGGGGATGTTTTCTTGGCACACTTTAGGCCCCTTAGTGCCAATTGGGCATCGTTTAAATGCCACGGCCTACCTGAGCATTGTTTCTGACCATGTCCATCCCTTTATGGCCACCATGTACCCTTCCTCTGATGGCTACTTCCAGCAGGATAATGCACCATGTCACAAAGCTCGAATCATTTCAAATTGGTTTCTTGAACATGACAATGAGTTCACTGTACTAAAACGGCCCCCACAGTCACCAGATCTCAACCCAATAGAGCATCTTTGGGATGTGGTGGAACGGGAGCTTCGTGCCCTGGATGTGCATCCCACAAATCTCCATCAACTGCAAGATGCTATCCTATCAATATAGGCCAACATTTCTAAAGAATGCTTTCAGCACCTTGTTGAATCAATGCCACATAGAATTAAGGCAGTTCTGAAGGCGAAAGGGGGTCAAACACAGTATTAGTATGGTATTCCTAATAATCCTTTAGGTGAGTGTATGTCAGGATTTACTGAACTGAATTATTAAGCAGTTTCTAATATTATTTATTTTTCTGACCAGTTCGCAAAGACGTCTGTGTGTACAATAACACTGAATACAAGGTGAGGTGCAAGGTTCATTATTTTACTCTAATTAAATACGATAGGAAAAGCCGGGTTATTCTAAAATGACACAAATGCATAAACCACTGTTAAATTAAATGTCATGTTTTCCTGTGGTCTAATTTGTCAGTTCTACCATGTTGGTCTGCATTTTCACAGATTTGAAATTTTAACATTAATGATAACCTTTTGAGAAGCTTTGAACAGAATGAGGGTGGGTAGATGACAGAAGCAAATGTGAATGGATCATATGTACCATATTGTTTTAGACTTTTTTTGACATTAATCATGTAATTTAATTATTACAAATACACAAAATCTGACGGGGTTTGGATAGGCATGATGCTTCTGGCATAAAGGAAGTCCATCGTCTTTTTTTAAACTGTGAACAACAAATGTTGGGTTCACATTCCTTACTTTGCTCTTCTCTCTAGCCTGGAGTTAAAATCCCTATGGAGCCTTGTGTGGAATGTCACTGTGAAATGGATAAAGACCTAAAGACTCATCTACATAATGTGACATGTTTTACTAAAGTCTGTGCACCTTGTGCTGAGGTAATAATTCAAATTTACACTTGTAGTAAGGCGAACAATAAATGTATAATTATTTTTTCAAATTATAGTTTGGATGGTTACAGTATCAGTCATGTGTAGTTCTACTATAAGAATGTGACCGATTTACATTATACTGTAAACTCCCAAACATATATAATATATAGAAGGTCACTGTACATTCTCTCACATTTGGCTATACTGTCTGTTCATACCATTTCATTTAAAGTATGTCCTGTACCTCTCTACCGACCTCTTCCTCCCTGTTGTCTCTGCTCACCTTCCCACACTATTTGCAATCCTGGTTTGGATGTCTTCTTAATTTCACACACCCATTTCTTGGTCCTCTAGAACTCAGAAAGAGAATCACTGGTTATCACCTCTTGCTCTTTCCTCAACCCTTCACTCATTGTAGAGTTAAGTAATCTGAGTAGTAAATGCAGAAAAGGTGATTATTAAAATGACAAACTTGTTTTTGCACCTCAAGGGCTCTGAATATGTGAAACAAAAAGGAGAATGCTGTGGAACATGTGTACCAAAGAACTGTACTTACATGGCGCCAAAGAACTGTACTTACATGGCGGACAACACTACATATACTCTCAGGGTACATCTGAAAAGATTTTTGAACTTTTCTTCATTCTTTCAGTTGCCCAAACAAAGAATCTGCTCTTTTATTCAATCCTCACGAAGTATGTCTGTCTTTTGTTAGGTTGGAGAAGTCCACAATTCCAAATGTGAAACTGTTACCTGTCGTGAAATTAATGGCTTGCTTGTGACTGAGAAGAGCATAAGAGAATGTCCTTACTTGAGTTCACTTAACTGTGGGCCTGTAAGTAGAAGCACTAGCTTTAGCTCCACGCATGGCACACTTGCTCTGGATGTATTTTGCATGGCTGTCGCTTTCTGAAGTAGCCTATCAGCATGATTTTAAAGGGGTGATATTGCCTTCATGTTTACCAGCTAAACTTTTACATACAACCAAATAATCTACAAGTAATCAGATTGACGGCTTTCTTTAATTAAATATGTATTGTATGCAGCTAGTGTGGTAATGCTTAACATTTGTAACTACACAATACATGCATTACACATCTTAACTGTGGATTTTAGACAAGTTGGAGGTTATGTTAACTTTAAGATGTTATTTGCAATGATTTATAAAAACATTATTTTCAAGAATACAAAATATTCTTAACTAAATTCTTAAATTGAAAACAAGAATGTTTTGTGAATCCGATCCCGGTTGTTTTTAAAAGGAGTGAAATTTTCAAACTAAAACATGTTTTTACACACAGGGGCAATCATATGTGAAAAAAGTTGGAGAGTGCTGTGGAACATGTACACAAGTGGAATGTATATATGATGCGCCAGACAACACCAGACATGTTCTCAAGGTACATTCTCAAACTTTTCTTCATTCTTTCAGTTCACTAAACAAAAAATCTGCTGCATTCTTCAATCCTAATATAGCCTACACTGTATCTGTCTTTTTGTTTAGGATCGAGAGGGGTACAAGTTCAAATGTATGACTGCTACCTGCAATAAAGTGAATGGCTCGTTTGCTATTGTGGAGAGCGTTAAAAAATGCCCTGACTTTAATCCAGGGTACTGTGAGCCAGTAAGTACAATCTCTATATTCAACTCCATACATGACACACTTGTTCAGTTTGTATTTTATATGCCTGTTTGCTTTCTGCAAGAGCTTAAGTATTTTTCCCCATATTTCTCCAGACTAAGGTCAATGTTCAAAACAATTAACAGGGCAAGAAAAAAAGGTTGCAGTTGGGTTTTAGTATATCAAAGAGGGGAAAAATTCCTGTCATCATTTACTTAACCTCATGTTATTCCAACCAATGAAAGAGGATGAGGGGCCATGGGTTGTCAGGTTCATAAAAACATTACAAGTAGCCCATACAACTCTTACTCCAAGTCTTCTTTACAATATGTGAGGAACTGGCCAACATTTAAGTTGTTGTTTGAACAGCCATGGCCAACATTCACGTGCACTGTCCAAAAAAGACCGGCTTGGAAATTCTGCGATAAACAACACCTTTTGTGTTTCATACAAGAATACAAGAAAGAAAGTAATAAAGGATGAGTAACTAATGACAAAATGGTGTGAATTATTCCTTTAATACTCTAGATGGCAGTGTTAACTTCAACCTGGGATTAGAAACTTTTTGTAGTAAAATATGTACTTTTTAGTATGAACGTGCAATATTGGATCAAATTAGATGCATGTTTTGAGAGATTTTACCATATTTTGAGAAATGCGTAAATAATGTTCTCTTTTCTATTATTTGTGTCTTTACAGGGAACAATTAAATTTGACATGGATGGATGTTGCGAAATCTGTAAGATAAACTTTATACCTTCCTGACACAAAGTATTTTTTAATGTTAAAATGGTTTTGTCCACCCTATTGTGTTTATGTAGCACATTTTATGTTAAGTAAATACAAAAAATATTATAATAGGCACTACTTAAAATGCAATGAATGTGCTGTTCATGAGATTTAGTCACAAGCTTACCTGCCTGCCTCTATTATCTTTCAGGTGAACCCAGCAACTGTGTTCTTGGGAAGAACGTCACCCGTCTGCATGTCGATGATTGCACTTCCATCGAGGATGTAGAAGTCACTTCCTGCACTGGCCACTGTGACACCAAATCAATGTGAGAGCATTACACACCTATTGATCACACACATGGTCTTAAATTCTTAACCTTTGGGAAATGTGGATCGTCAACCATAATATAATGTGAACGGTTTTATTTTAATTTTATTATATTATTGTTTGGCAATAAAGATTAAATAATTATCAATATTATGATATAAGGAGAAAAAATCAGCTTGATTTTAGTTTTCACTTTAACATCATTTGTAAGCAGTAGCCATTTGGTTTGATATTTTGTCAGGTATCCAAAGAAATTCATACACTTTTTTAGTGTGCCTTAGCATCCAGACCTTTGTGTGGATACTGTATATTAGGATAAACTCACATCCAGCTGTGCTACACACATATGACTGGTGTTTTCTTGGAAACCTGCACAGGTATTCGATGGAAAAGAACATCATGAACCACAGCTGTTCTTGCTGTCGAGAGAAGACAGTAAAGAATCGAGAGGTGATGCTGAAGTGTGCCAATAGCAGCGAGATCCTTCATCACTACATGCACGTTGAGAGCTGCTCATGCACTCCTACCAAATGTGTGGACTAGAATAACTCTGGATAAAAAGATCCTGCTTGACTTCTGCTGATTTAAAGATGACTCAATAATCTGTCACTAAAAAGCAACAATTTTAAAATATATTACTGAAATTGACAATAACGATGATTTAAGCTGATTGTTGTAGTGCATTAATGGCTAAAATTATTTTGGCAAATATTGCACCACTTATTTTTTCTTTGTGGTTTGATCTAGGGGTAAAGTTAACTCTAAGCATAATCTATGTAGTCGTGTTCTTGAAGGGGGCATTTTTGTATTCTTTAGACTCTCTGGTAATGCATGATATAATGATGTACTTTTCTTTCCAATGAAATTAATTCAAATCAAAATAAAGCATAATAAGGAGCATCAATTATAGTGTCCTGAATTTTTTTCTGAAAAAATGTCAGGCTGCATACAATGATTGAAGAAAGCATTGGAGTAAAAACTTTGAGCTGAAATTAATTGTGGCTGTTTCACTTGATGAAATGTAAGTAAATTGAATGTTTTCCTCACACAATATTTTGCAAGCTTGTAAGGAAAGAACGGTGTGAGAACTGAATTCATACCATCTTGCAGGTCTCTTCTTGAAGAAGACTCGTTTTGTCCCAGAGGTCATAAACTTTCCATCTTCAGGAGGTGAAGAGTTCAGAAATGGGGAATCGCATTCACAAAATGTGTGCGTTTTCAATTTAAAGGAAGGGAGGGAGGGGGGACGGGGGTTTGGACATCGGAATTTTGGACATCGGGCCTCATTTCCAAGTTAGCCTTAGTGTTAATTTGTCAGTGGAGACAGTTTTCAAAAATTTTCATCCAGTCGTTCCAGTTGCATAGTTCGCCGGTGCTAGGCTAGCGCGAGTCAACGGTCGGTAACTGCTAGCATGCCATTAAAAACAGTTTTACCCACTCCACAGTACACCAAAAGCAAATAAATCATAACGCCAGACTATCGATGTAAATGTCTGTTATGAAAAAAAACATACTTTTTACATATTTTTGTTTCTACCAAATATTGTTTACATTTTTAAAAATAAATGCAGTAAAAGGTGCCAGTGGATTATTATCACTATAAATTTGTTTTTCACTCCAAGGGGTTTGAATATGTGAAAAAAGAAGGAGTGCTGTGGATAGCAGTGTTGCCAACTATTTTCAAAGGAAAGTAGCTAAGGCCTTCCCTAAAAGTCGCTAAATGTCGCTAGATGACGTCATACGTCAATTAGCATATTAATGACGTCATCGCGCCGTACTTGCGTTCTGTCAGCCTAGTGCGTTTTCTCTCTAAATGAATGCTCTATTCAATATAATATAGCCGAATGTCAAATAAAGCTGTTCTCATTTCCTATTTTTGTTGTTGTCAGACAATTGAACGAGTAGCTATAATATAGTGAATGATTACATTTTGTATAGGCCTATGTGGAACATTATCTGAATTGAGAGAGTTAGGGAACCGGATGAACTAAGCTCTGTGATAGTGTTACAAGTAATAAGCACAATAAAAGAAATTAAATTTAAATGGTCAAACTAAAAGAGAAGCAGATAAGTGATAAGTCCGTGGAAAAACACTGATCATTCGCGTCTGTCAGCGGCCGTGCGCTCCTCTCAGCCATTCACTGAACAGGGGAGACGCAGCTAGAGAGAGTGACGACAGGGAGAAAGCAAGACCTCGCGCTCGCAGGACAGTACTGACAACATTTGGAGGTTACTGAGGTTTGTCCAAAAAGTCGCTAAAATTGTCGCTAGTCGCTTTTTTGAAAAAATGTCGCTAAAGGGGTCTGAAAAGTCGCTAAAAATAGCGACAAAGGCGCTAAGTTGGCAACACTGGTGGATAGGGTTGCCACCTATGTCTGATAAAAAACCGGGACATATTACCCGCCCAACTGGGGGGGGGGGGGGGGGTGTTTGAAGACCAAAAATGAACGGTTGAACACCAAAATTTAAATTTTAACTGTAGGCCCGCCTATACACCAAATGCTGCGCAAAAATATATCCTATATTCGCGTATTTTCAGATTTTTGTTCATGATTTTTTTTTTGCCCCTTTAATAAGCATTTAAAATATTCACAAATTATATGGATAAAATGGTTTTCTAAGGCCAAACACTATATTTCTAAGGCTATAGATGATTTATAGGCTATTATAAATGTTTCTGAAAAAGTAACGAGGCATTTTAATTGTTTATTAATAAACTAGTATTTTCTAAATCGGCTGCAACATATCTCCATCTCCGCTGTAAAGCAGATGCGCCTTTAGAGAAGAAATTCATATGGATTACATAATCAGACTGTATTTTCTTTTGATTCGAATTTGTTCGTTTAAAAGTGGACATTTCAAGCTTTAGCCTATGGGCTTGTTTATTTTGAGACGCGATCCAGTTCACGGAGACCATAAAAGAGCGCGACTGATTGTTTTATTTTATTTTACAAAAGCACAACGTTTTCTTGTTATTGTGAGTTTACACAAATAAAAGTAGTTGCGAATGATGTATTGTTGCGAATGATGTTTATTTTCTATGACCAGAAATGATAGAGTAGTAGGCCTATTTTAAGTTGTTTCCACTGTTGATAGAAAAACGGAAGTGCTCGCGCCCGCGCCTCGTGCAGCAAGCGCGCTCCACACTCAGATTACATGCGCTTCTTATGCGCTTCTTGAGGCAGACTCGACTCACACTAGCACACACACGCAAGGTCTCTCGCTCTCTGCCGTTGCGCGCGCTACACAGTTTGAACATACATATTCACGTAGCCTTTCGAAAACCGGGACATTCAGTGTCCCGGGAGAGTGCGTAAATTTCCCGGGACAGGTTATTAAAAAGAAGGACAATCCCGGTAAAACCGGGACAGGTGGCAACCCTAGCTGTGGATCATGTACACAAGATGCCTGTATATATGATGCACCAGACAACACCAGACATGTTCTCAAGAAACATTCAATGAAAACATTACCAAAGTTTTCTTTGTTTGTTCAGTTCATCAGACAATGAATCTGCTCTGTTCTTCAGTCTGGCACGTTTATGACAATAGAGAGCTTTAAACAATGCCTACTTTAATCCAGATGACTGTGTACCTGTAAGTAGAATATCTGTAATTCTAGAGCACATATTACACCCTTGTTCTGCTTGTATTTTGTATGCCTGTTGCTTTCTTCTACTGCTTGAGTATGGACATGCGTATTTTACATATTTCAGTTTTTGTCAATGATCTCAAAACATCACAGCCATAGAAACAAATTTAAATAGTCATCATTTACTCACGATCATATTATTCCATGCATTGAAAGAGGATGGGGGCTCATTATATGACAACAAAAAAAAGCACTATAAAAATATCATAAAAGTAGTCTTCTGGTGCACACTAGGTTTAGTGTACACTAGGTAGTGCACACTAGATAGTGCATACTAGGTTTAGTGCACACTAGGTAGTGCATACTAGGTTTAGTGTACACTAGGTAGTGCACACTAGGTTTAGTGCACACTAGGTAGTGCATACTAGGTTTAGTGTACACTAGGTTTAGTGTACACTAGGTAGTGCACACTAGGTTTAGTGTACACCAGGTAGTGCACACTAGGTTTAGTGTACACTAGGTAGGTAGTGAACACTAGGTAGTGCATACTAGGTTTAGTGTACAGTAGGTAGTGAACACTAGGTAGTGCATACTAGGTTTAGTGTACACTAGGTAGTGCATACTAGGTTTAGTGCACACTAGGTAGTGCAATCTTTAGACTGTTCTTTTTGGTAATGCCTGATTTAATTATGTATTTTTCCTTTCAATGAAGTAAATTAACATCTTAATAAAGCATAATAAAGAGCGTCAATTACAGTCTCTTGTTTTGTTTTGTTTTTTAGAAAAGTTCCAGTCTGCATACATTAGTACAAATAGATAGTACAAAGCACTGGAGTACAAATTTTCATCTGAAAATAATTTTGCCTGCACGTGTTTGCCTGTATGTTTATCGTATCTTAATTTATCATTTTATGCTATTTAGCATTGTACCCCATACTTAAATGTAATCTCGAGTACATGGTTTCATATTTACAGTAAAACATTTTTTTTTTTTTAAATCCTAAAACGTTTTTATACCAGTACCTGGCCGGGAAAAATGCATTACCTACATTTTACCATAAGAGGTCTCACTGTCGTCAAGCTAATAAACGGGACAGATTTCCTTCTTTTTTTTTTTGCACATTTCTGTTGACATCAGTGGTCCCGAAACAATTATCCACACATGTTCTTATTTTAGCATATTGTAGAAAATCCGATTTTGATTAATTAGTTAATAAAAAAAAAAAAATCATAGTTAACCACTGTGAACGAGCACCGATTTCCGATTTCGGGCTTTTGTCCAAGTAGCAGTCTAACAATAAGGCTACATACATTCAAAAACGAACCCCTTTATATTTATTTATATTTATATTTAACTGTACCCTATTATTCATTAATTAATGAAATATTGCATTATTTTCAGGTTAAATTAATTCAAAGTAAAAAGCTTAAACTAACATCAAAACAACCCAGATAGCAATGAGTCGGCGGACCACCGTCGGTTCTCCGGCGGCAGTAGAAGCAAGTGGTACTCGATGCAGAGCCAAATAGGAGGAGCTAGAGCTCCAGCTCTTCCCCTCGCTGGAGCTCTAGCTCCACCCAGACCCGTTTTTCAACGGCTCTGGCTTCACCTCACTGGATTTAGTGGGCGGGGCCGCCCAGGCGCAGGTTAACTTTCGCGATAAACATGACCGCGCCCGCGCTTCCATGATTATATTATATAATTATATTATATATAATAAATATTATCATAAATAAACCTAAGTAACCATGGCGATAGCGTTTCCACCTAAAATTGCGGCGCCTTCCCGGCATGCACCTCATTCTCTATTAGAAATATCCCATCCCCCACAAGAGGTACGCAGTTAAAAAGTTGTTTGCCAACCGCCATTAAAAATCCAAAAGAAGAAGAAGAAGACAGTGGTGCGTAGTTACTTATTTTAATTAAATATTTGTTTAGTCTTACAAATGCA